AAACTAATGCATTGTAAGTGTAGCTTTCAAATTAATGGCAAATAAAAATAAAACTAGAAAATAGAAGTGTCTGGCCGGCAGGCCAATAGATTTAATTTGGCCGGCAAACTATAAAAAGAAAAGTCATTACACGTACAGTGAGTTTTTATCTGCTTCTACATATATATCCAGCTCGATACATATACTTGTATATATAAATGTATATATACATATATTTGTGGATAAAACTATTTGGCACTTCTCTTTGGCAATCTATGCGCTCTATTAGTTTTTTTCCAATTGCGGCTGTCATAAAAGACAATTGTATATAGAATAATAATTAATAAATATTATTGATAACTATTGCCAGAGTCCAGCCACTGCTTTTTGTTGTTGTTGTTGTTATTGTTGTACAAATGGCGCGTGTCAGCCCAAAAAATGAAAAAAATTAAAATAGAAGAACAAATTAAAAACAAAAACGCAAGCCGACCATTATAAAAAACAAAAAAAAAAAACAAAACGCGTTTTCCAAATTGAATTTAAATGCTCAATTGAAATGTTTTAATGCTGATATAGATAGAGATATTGCTGGACATATACTTATAAATGAACGTATGGCTTGCCTAACAATTGACTGTCTTGAATATATGTACATACTGATACGTATGTACATATATACTTATATCTCTATATACCCGTACTTTGATGCACGACATCATGATAAGAGATAAGGGCGAGTCGTGTGAAAAATCATCATCAAAATTCGAGCAGCACTCTGAGAACGAGTATATCTCAGCCTTCAATTGCCAGCTAATATGTATATAGTAGTTGCAATTATAGCAAATTATATTCATGTTATGTGATTTTACTAATTGATATATGTAAAGAAACGGCTGGTGCAACAACAACAACAACAACGACAGCAACAATGATAATTCAACAACTATCGGACAGCAGCTCCTTCCTCGACGTTAACTATTGATTTCAAGCTTTCCAGCTACAAGCACTCGTTAATTATGGCGGCACATTTAGTTGAAATTGTGCAAAAAAAAAAAAAAAAAAAAAACACCAATACAACAACAACAGCAGCGGCAATGAAAAGCCCAAAACAACTAGCAATAATTAAATACCCACCTATGCCAAATATTCCATGATTAAATGCCAAAAAGTACAGAGAGACAGACAGACAGACAGACAGACAGCCAGACAAAGAATAAAAATTATTTGCCAACCAGCAATTAGCTAGGCAACCCCTCCCTCCCACCCCCTCCCCACTCCGCCCCTGCAGCTATCGACCACTAATCCACTAATTATCAGCTGACTATAGACTTCAGAGAAGAACTGAACTGAACAGAACAGAACAGAATAGAACAGATAAGCTTCTTTTTTCGTTTGATGACTAACATCAGCGAATCTCGCAGCAGGTTCTCAATTCTTGGCCATTCATTTTGACAAGCGTCCGTTTTTGTTTGGGCTTTTAATCAATTATAATATTTGTTGCCTTCCCATATTTGTGGGTTTTTCTCACGCTCGCACATACATACACAGGTCTTATCTTCTATTTGAATCTTTTGCTTTTTAAATACATACATATTTGCGTATTTGGGTGTACGAGTATTCAGCCAACAACATTTCAGGTGTTCCACAAATGGATTATTCAGCAAATCAGTTTTTTTTTTAAACAATATTATTAAACAAATTATTAAAGAATTAAAAATGCAAAGGCCCTAAGGTTATTTTAGGAGGGGTATACAAGAAATTCTAAACGCCAACTATGTATTAAAGGCAAAAGAAGAAGTACCAGACTCCATTGGGTTAGCATCAGTCGTCATAGAAATTTGTGCGACTGTATGAACACCGAGAACTTTTAAACCAAAACATATAGGGACACCAAACTTGATATGTAGACTTGTCCGATCTATATGCAGAGGAAGTTTGTTTGAAGACATACATACAGCTTCATTATTTTATATACCTGTCGTAGGACTGATCAATGCAATAGTTGGACAACTTTTTCGTTTATAAAGATATCTTAAGAATATTTTACATAATTGAGTTTTGTCTCGGGCCAAAAATTTGATCAAAATCGCCTCACTATATCAGATAACTGCCATACGACGGATCGGCGCGAAAGTCAACCTTGTTTGTTCATAAAGATATCTTAAACAAATGCGATATTAATGTCTTGCATAGAACCTCGTAACAGTCTCAAGATATTCAACAAACATTTGCAGAGTGTGAACATGTTTCAAAAATGAGAGAACACCGCCTGAAGAGACACCCTTTTTGGAATCTAATTAACTGCAAAGTATGCAAATGCTTTCAAATCTGTCTGCTGCCCATAGTATGGCGCCTTCCAGACGCGCGCTCTCTCCTTCTCTCTTTCACTATTCGCAATAAATAACTATGTATATGCGTACATATTTATTATGTTAATTAATTTGCTTAAATTTTGCTTAAATACATTTTAATGTGCCAGCGTCACAGCTTCTTCTGATTAGCAATAACTTTAAGCCGCTTTTGTTTATGGCTCGCCATTATTGTATTTTCAAGAATTTGTTGAGTTTGTTTTTGTTGTTGTTGTTTGTTTTTGTGTTGTTGTAGTTGTCATAAAACTGCGTTTACCCCATTTTCGCCGGCTTGTTATTTTGGCATTAGCACATTTGTGTGTCGAAGCCGAACTCTTAACTGTGCTTTATGGCCATGCTAACATTTTTTATTGTACTTGGCTCTTCGTTTGTTCGGCGATCGTTCGTTAAAAATTTTATATTTTCATCCTACTTATTTTTTATTTAAAGCCATCAGCTACAATGTCTAAATAATGTTTTAATAGTTGACAATAAGTAATTAATTAGCGTTGGTTGTCGCTTTTTGTTTTGCCATGAATGACAACAACGACTCACTAAAATATAATTTAAAAAAAAAACAAAAAACACACACACACAGAGATAAAAAGATAAAAACACAACTGAGACATGAACTTGAACTGCTGGCGGGACAGCCAGCCCCGCATTTACAACAATTAAATAAACAATTGCAAATTGACAGCAACCGGCAGTGTGTATGGGCCATAAATATTATTGGGAGGTCTACTTGAGTTATTACACTGCACAACAGAGTTCAGTTTGGGGCAGCGAGGCATGTCTAGGCAGCTTATAGCTATCCAAAGAATGTCTCTTCAACGCTTCTCTAGCTATCTTGAGATCAAAGAAACTCCCCTCTCCCCATCATAGATAATCGGCATATCCCTAAAGACAAGACGATTGCATTTTGGAAAAAGGTCTCTGTTTCTTGAGAGAATTTCCAGCTCCATTCTGATTCTACAATGTCTACAGTACAACGAAAGTCTCTTCTCTTCTCTATCAGTCTGTAGCGGTTAATTTAAATCACTCTCAATGGTACTAATTATCTACCTTAATCAGCATGCGAGTATTATATTTTCTTGATTACTTCAGCGCTCATTATTTCTTTGGAAGCCAATTCTGATATCTTCCACATAGCCACAATTCTTTATTCTATTCGCTCTTGATTTTTGATTTGATGCTCTACCCAATGAATTGTTTTTAGCAACATACTTAGCTTTAGGTCCGATTTCAGTTCAAGTTAGTTATTTACGTAGAATATCTTAATTGGGATTTTCCAGAATGCTTCCCTTTACTTTACTTTTCTTAACCTTATTCAATAAATGAATTGTAAAAAATACCGAAAAAGTGTAAATAATTTGCAGCTTATTTATAATCGGTATACTCATTATTGTTCTTACTTAGGGGTTCGGGTTCATATATCCAAGAAGGCCTAAATTTTTGTCGCCAGCTCCTCCCTTTTAAATCAAGACGAAAACTGCAATATCAAGACAAATTATCAACAACATGTTTTCTTTGGCCTTCTTTTCTTTTTTTTCTGCTACCTGCCTTTCTTTTTAAGTCGAATATGCATCTGATAGATACAAATAATTCACATAATTGCCAAAACAAGAAAAGGAAAACTATATACCTAGAATGGTGCGTAAACCCCCCATAAAAAAAAGCAAATGACAGTCTTGCTAACTACTTACTAATGTTAATTACGGGTCTCGAACACACAGACAGAGAGACAGGTAGAAAACGAAAAGGAATGTTTGTGTAAGCAGACAAGGATTGGCAGGAGCTGGCGAGTCTAAAACGAATATTTTGGGTAGGCGAGATCGAAAGATTGTTGACATCATCGAGTCGAGCAGTCGAGTGTGTGAAACTCTAGAGGTCGGTACTGGTATCCTGGATGCCATTTAATATTGTGTAGTGCAGTTTAATAAACACAAAGAATCAAAAATAATACAAATACTACATGTGGTTGTATATTCGCATTATCAGTCCATATACATATGTATATAGTATATATATGAATATATATATATACGTATATTTAAAGCCGGTGCTCGGATTGCGGGTGGCAATTTGAGCGTCACAGTTGACTAAACGACTCGACAGTCGGCCGCGCGCCAACAAACATAACGGCGTCAGTTGGTCAGTCAGTCAGTTAGGCAGACAGTCATTCAACCATTTTGTCTACGAAATTTCCGACAATTATGGCGCAATTTCAATAACAAAAAATCTCGCTTTGCGCTTCTTTCTGCGGCCACTGCTACTGCCACTGCCACTGCTGCTGTTGTTAATATTATTGTATTATTATTATTATTATTGTTATTGTTGTACTTATACTGCACATTCGGCGCACTTATACACAATACTTTTTATTAACATTTTGCCATTTTTGTTGTGCGTGCGTGTGTCTGCCTGCCAGTCTGTCTGTCTGTCTATCTGTCCGTCTGTCTGTAAAAGCTCGAAAAATGCTTTGCTCTGTCAACTACTTATGAATATGGTATTGTATTGTTGTATTTTGTTTGTTGTTGCTGCTCTTTTCATTCGCGTTTATCATTAAACCGGCAAATCATGCATTTTGATTATTATAATTTAGCTCTCTTAATTATTATATACTCCGTTGATTAATGTCTAATTATCTTTCAATTCTTCTTTCGATTGCAGCAATCCGTCTACTTTGCCGCTTCTATTTGTTCTTCCACAATCCCGATTGTTGATTGATATACGATATAACCAACTCCAAGCGATCCGCACAGACCGACCAACAAGATGACCGGTTTCACTAACGGGGGCTTCGAGAACGATGAGCCCGTCAAGGTAAGTTCCAAACATTTCACATCTACCTATAAAAACAATTCCTTGGCCAATTGAGGAGAAAGCCCACGAACTTGAATAGCAACGAATAAAAGTGGAGGAGAGTGTGAAGGGAGAGTGTTGGGAATTTTTTCTGATATTAAGTGATTGTTGAAATGAATTACGAAACTAATTACATACAAAACCATCAACCAATCAAGTTGGATTCTTCTTATTCCTTGGAAAGTTAAAGGAAAACAAGCTCTCGAAAGCAAACTCTTGAAAAGCATCGAATAATGCAGAAGGAGCGAGTGAAGAATGCGAATTTCTTCGCCATTCTTTTGGTGATATGTGAAAGAAAGTAAATGGATAATTACTTTTAACTCATCCCCCCCATTTAGTTGAAGAGAATTCTTCATAATATTTGTAAATTGAACATTTTTACAAGAACTTCGGCACTGCTTCTTTTTTTTTATAGCAACAACTGCCCTTCGAGGCTTTCAAATGCACATGAGAGTTATTGTTTGATGTGTTCAAGTAAATATTTCACAAGATTGCTGCGAAAAATAACTATTTATTTAGATAAAACATTAAGGGGTACCAGCGAAAATAGAAATTACAATTGCGGCATTTATTCATTGATTGCACTTCATTTCTAAGACTCGATTGAGCTGCAAAATTTAAGTAAACTCTCTTAACTAATGATGGCTTTTAAATATAAAGCAAAATTAACATTTAAATCATTCCAATACTTTATATAGTTCTTCGCTATTCTTATTTAATCGCTAAAGTCTAAAATATGGCACAGCTATATGTTTTTTTGAAAACATACAAATAAAATTTATTGACTGGCCAAGCAACAATGTTTCAATAGTCAATCAATGTACTTTACTAATGTCTATATTATTTATATACAACTGCTGACATATCTTTAAATGTTTTACAACTCTCATATGTAACATGTTGTGTGTGTTTTTTTTTTTTTCATTGAAAGCTTCGTTTCAATAATAACTGACAATTTATTTAATATTTTTTTGCTGTTACTATTTTTTGCGTTTGTTTTTGTTGGGCATGCTTTACAGAAACATAAGTCAACGTACGCATATTAAATTGTTTATTTGTATTTTTTAAACAAAAAAGTAACAATAATAATAGCTGCGACAAACGGTATGAGTAGTTTTGAAGTTCAAGTCGCAGCCAGCAGTTGAGACGCGTTCATTCATGCGTCCAGTAAATGCTTAGAAACATGCATATGCCTGTCCTCAAACGATATAAACTATATATGGAAATACAAATACATATACTATACAAGTACAACTAAAGCTGAATGCGTCCGTCATTAAGTGCTGCATTCGAATACTATAAATAGCTCAATATAAATACTATATTTAAGTAGCTATATGGCTACAAGTGTGCCCATTAGAGCCGCCTGGCAGCAGCCGACTGCTTGAGATTGCAATAATAATAATTAGAATAATAACGAACTTAAATAACAATAATTTATACACAAATTATTGAAGAAAATAAATAACTAACATGGACATAAAATGTAGAAAAATAATATGGACAAATAAAACGAAGAAAATCGAATAAATAAATAAAACTAATAAAAAATAATACAAAAATTAGTAAATATGAAATTATATAACAAACAAGCTAATAAACAAATTTAAAAAAAATATATAAAAGAACAAAAATAAATCATGCGCAAAATATTGAAATAAGCAATGGAATAAAATAGAGCAATAAATATATAATTAAAATAAATAAAAACAATAAACAAATCAAAGTAGACATAAAGAAATATTTTTTTTATATTCCTTTCAAAATATTTAAAACTGAGTTGCGAAATGAACAAACAAATTTACAAGGAAATCTTAAAAATAAATAAAAAATAATAATAAATTAAATAAGTTAAATTTAATAGATGTTATTAATATGAGAAATGACTTATTCCAAAAATTATAAAAGTATTCATAACAACAACAATTACAGGTGGACTTCTCCACCTACTGACCGCTACCAAGCCACTGCCACTCCTTTTCTGGTTTTTTAGCAAAAAAAATATAAAAAATAAAAAAAACCAAAAAAAAGGCAAAGCAAAAAGCCAAGAAATTCAACAACAATAACAACAACAAAAAACTTGGAGCTGTGCGTGTGCTTTTTCTTTAATTTGCTGTAATGAGACAATGTTAAATAAATTTCACCTCTTTGGCAGCTCGGCGATATTGTATGTACAATATGTAGATATAGCAAGCAAATCGTAAGAAATATAAAACGCCAACACAAGTTAAAAGAAACAACAATTTCAAGCCAGAGCCAAAATCCAGAAATGTGACAGCAGAAAGCGCTTAAAGCATCAAATATATGCACACATGTGTACACAAATGTAATCACATTTATATGTCTCTCTCTGTGTGTGTGTGTGTGTGTGTGTGTACATAATAAATGATCAAATCATTATTGAGCTGACAGCAGAGAGACCAAAACAGGCACAGACACAACAACCACAAGCACAAAAAGATGGCCAAACAAAAGGCAAACACAAGTTTGGATAATTATTTAAAAAAAAAAAACAAAAAAAACTTACTCAATCATCCTTCTTGCTGAGTGTGAGAATTTTAGTAAAAAAATGCTAAAGATTCCAAAGAAAAAAGACTTAAATTGATTGTAGAACTACATATAATTAATTTCAGTTTTAGAAACTAGAATGGATTGACTTGCGAAATCAATAAGGGTGTGGTCAGATGGTTAAAAAATTTGCCAACAAATCTGTAGAATTTCACACAAGTATAACAATATTTTATTTAAACAATCAAATCAAATAATTTGCACACAATATTCTAATATCTTACTACTTGTAGTAGTCTTTAAGAAGCAAGTCGCAGAGAGATATTTTTGTGCAGAAAACAGATCTCTATCGGATTTAAATAATACGAATGATTTCCCAATTAGTCTGACCACAACTTCAAGCTTTGCTCAAAACTTTCCATTGATTTATGCCTGCCATGTATGTGAAGCAGTTCCAAGTTCTGATTGCCAATCGGTAGAGCAAACTTTGGTCCCAAAAGAGATATTGGCCGAAAACACATAAATCTTTTCTATTATTCCAAACACATGCTCAACAACCAAAACGCGGCTCTCCCTCGCCTCAGCTATAATTCATTTCGCATCTAAATAAAAAAAAAAGAAGAAAAAAGATGCAACTTAATTGCAGCCACTTATTATTTTGTAAAACTTGCACAATTTGTCATTAAAACCAAATTCGCTTGGCATTTTACAAGGTTTCATAATAATCATTCAAAAAGAGAAACAAAAAACAATACAAAAATTTGAAAATACGGGTTAGTTCAGAATGCAACTGCCATGGAATCGCCAAAAAAAAAAAAAAAAAATACATGCATGCATGTATATATATGAAAAAAATTAAATAAAAGTCAACAACAGAAACCGAAACCAAAAAACTTGTTCGCTGGCAAAAACGTCCACACAATGAGCCCAAGAAGCCCAACAACAACAGCAACAACAGGCGCAGTGTCAAAACTATGGCAAGTCATGCAAAACCAAAGCCGCGGAGTCAAAGCCAAAAGCCAAAACCAAAGCTACACACCGAGCTGCTGCTGGCCAGGCGAGGAAAAGAGCCAAAACTGTTGCAGCTGCAACATCGATTCGACAACAAATAAAAACGACAGCGACTGCAGCGCTAAAACGTGCACTTCCAAATGCCAAAAGCAAGTTAAAGTTGAAGTTAAAGCTACAGCTAAAGTGTTATCTTCGACTGCAGCACAGTTATACGAATATAGACACGCTTTCCATTCACTTCGAGTAGATCGATGACGAGCTATCAAGTAATAGAACTAGAGTAGATCAGCATTTTTGAAGCGAACTCTGTGCAGTATCAGTATAGATCGAAGCCTTCTCTTCATTTTTGAAAAAATCACCATATTTAAGTAAATAAAGTTAACATAAAAGCATTAACCATTCTTATCAGATGTGCGTTAATACTTAGCTTCATTTACAAACAACAACAACTTTCAAAGAAAAAAAGAAAAAACCTTAAACTATCGCGCGCGCGTTCCTACAACTCTTAAGTGCTACCAAACCAGTATAATTTATTATATAAGTACATCAGTACGTTAAACATTGTTATCAGAAGTTCATGAATAGTCTAATAAACTATCTTTCCCATTTAACTATTAAGTGGCACTATAAGTATAGCTGTTTCGCCGATTCGCTGCCAAATGTCTCGTGCCAAGCACACGCAACATGTTGCTAGCAACCACAAAATACAGCCACGCTGTTGCCGCAGCTGCTCAACTGTCTCTCCACTTCTTCGTCATGTGTCCAATTGTCCATTTGTCCATCCGTCCGAATAGTGGCCTGAGTGCCTGCGCCTATGCTTGTGGCTGTGGCTGCTATTTGCCAGTAGGTCGGCATTGCCATAAACTTAGCCAAGTTTTGCATTTGACCATCAATTAGCTATGTTTATCAACATGTTGCGAATGCGCCGCTCTCGGCGCTTCTCACTTCGCACAGCGATCGCCGCGCCAATTGCAGTTGTAACTGGTTTGCAGCGGTTTTTGTTTTGCTCGCGCACTTTAAAGTGCAATATTATTAATATGATTACCCACACTACTGCGATGCGAGAGAGTGTGCGAGTGTGCGGGGCATTGTGTTTGTCGCTTTTTCTGTGGAATTCCTAAGCTAGTCTTGTACATGTGCCGCCAACCGGCAACACCTGCTCTTGCTGCTGTTGTTGCTGTTGTTGTTGTTGTTGTTGTTGCTGCTGTAACCATCAGCTGTTAGCGGTTATTTTTGGCTTATTGGCAGCGTACGAGACAGCGTTGAGAAGGCTGTGAGAAAATCCTCAATTGGTTGCAATTAGGGAAGCAAAACAAGCAAGCATTTCATTTCAATTTAACCTCAACAATATTAGTTTCCGTAATTGTCTCAAACCAATAGAAAAATAATTAACACTTCATAACATTGCCTTTTTAATGCATTCGTAATGTAGAGTAGAAATATGTTGTACGTCCCAGGAATGTTGAAAACTAATGGCATTCTATTGCTAATAAAATAGTGAAGATACTGCTTCCACATAAACTTTTGAAATCAATGCAGGCACAATTAGGCTTTCTCTTTCAATATAAATATTTTTTAAATAATTTAATTTTCGCTTCCCAATACTATTAACTTTTATAACTTGAATTTGTTAGTTTTTGTTTTAGAATTATATCTTTATGCGACTATAATTCTTAATTTGAAACTCCCTCAAGTGTCACATCACGCATACGCCACGTTGCTGGCCCTGCATATCGCATTTTCAATATGTATTCTAATCGAATTTGAGAAAGGAACTACTTTTCTTTATGTTTTGCTGTGATTTAACATTTGATTCAATTAAAAACCAGATAGCTGCTTTCCACAATTCCTTGATTTATTAAAGCAATGGATATATCCTATTTTAAAAACTGCTATAATATTGCTTAGTTGTGAGAATACAATTAATTGACTTACACAACTTGATTTGACATGCTCGTTCATTTAATGTTAAAAATAGAAAATTTTTTTTATTATTACTAGCTAGAAAGCTTCACATATAGTATAAATTCGTATACCTCATAAGCCCATGCCTTCCTATATGTTATAAGTAGCTTCAGCAAATATTAGAGTGTCATGCAAAAGGCGATAAGGAGCCGGTTTTTATTTTCTTCATTAGAATGGGGCAGTTCTGTGAGATTCTTTCTCATTTGATTATTTACTTGAAATGAAAGACAGACAGACTATAACTGCGGATTAACAAACAGTCTACATTCTATAATTTATTCAGATTTCTTTCTGCCTTGTCTCGTGACGTTGCTTAAATTTGGCAATTATTTAAATCAAGCTGCTCATTAATTGAAATGCCTCACAAATTGGACAGCTTTCGTTTTCACCAGACTTGGACTTCGATAAGCGCGGTCAGGTTGCTATAAACGTCAGCATATGTATATGTATATACATACATACATATATATATATATATATGTCTCCAGAGCAGCTGCATTGACTCATCCTGCGACGACGATGCGTCGATCAAAAGCTTATAAAACAAAACTAAACCCTTCAGCGTGCAATGCGGCGTATGAGTAATGCGAGAAAAACAATGAAAAGCAGGCAGGTGGGGAGCCACATGAAACCGGCAACTAATGTGCAACAGTCGTGACGTGTTTCTGCAGGCAATTACGTGCCACTGGCCGCCCCCCCCCCCCAACTCCCCCCTCAGCCGTTGGGTGAGGAATACAATCCACCACCCACCCAACAGGCTTCAGTCGCTCAACTCGTTTCTTTTGAATTAAAAATTCAATTTTCGGACATTTGTTTGTTGCTTCATTTGTTTTGGTTTCCACGAAATTGTGCATCCAGTTTGTGTTAATATTGCTGTTAACTTGATTGCTGTTGTCATACATTATTGCTTTGTTAATTTGTTGTTAATGAAAACAAATGAAAACAAATGTTGGCGACGGGGATTTTTTGTTTTTTGTTTTTATTTTGTTTCTTTTAGCTTAGACTTAAAATGTTGTTTCTGTTTCGCATTCGCAAACACACAAATTGGAAGGCAGCTTACAGCTAGAGTTTATTTCATTTTATTGCCAATTATATATTATTTGTAAACAACACTAACAATAGCGACAAACCACAACAAAATGTAAGTTAGTAATAGTTTGTTGATTTCGTTTAGTCTGTGTGTGCATTGTATAACGACACGGATTGCTCACCTAATTGAAGCAGGTATAGCGCGACCCAAAACCAAAAAAAAACAAAAAACAAACAAACAAAAAAACTTTGAAAAAACTTTGAAAAACTTAAAAACTTAACTTAAGCCTCAATACCAATCCATAAGAGCCGCGTTTAAACCCCACGTTTTGTACACAAAGTTGTGAATTTTACGTAAAATTATTTGCTATGTAACCTTCCTCTATTTTTGTTTTATTTTTGTGTTGGTATTGTTATTGTTGTTGCTGTTTTATTTGCTGTCTCGCATGCAAATTATGAACATTTTTCAACTCACAGGCGTTGCAATGGCGTCGACGTAGAACCCATGGAGTGCCCGAAAATACCAAACATTTCTATTGTTGTTGCTGCTGTTTTTGTTGTGCTTCTTATGGTCATTTAAAGGCTAAACAACGCATGCGCCAAACGTGCAAAACATCAATAAACCAAAGAAACGCGCTTAGCGTCGAAGCAGCTCACGAAACGCTGGAAAAACGCGTACAAAACGCTCGTGCGCGTCACAGTCAAAAGTTGTTGCAATTATTGGGGCTATTTATTGCCCTTCTCCACACCCAAAACCTAAGTGAACAAATTTATTTCATTTTACGTTATAGGTTAGATTTTTTTTATCGATCTGTTCGGCTGTATGAACCACTACTGCTTCCATATTTCTAAGTCTATCATGCTGAAAGTTTTCGTCTAGACTTGTTATTGTTGCATGTAAATAGCTTCTTCAAATTATTCTATTTTGTAGATTTTATCAGTTGCTTAAATTAACATTAGGACTAACTGCCATTCCGCCCCATTTTCCTTCTTCTTCTTGGGTTAACCTCTTATAAGGCGGGTCAATGCTGAACAGTGTGTGTCCATAATCGAGCTGCACAAAACAACTAAAAAAAAAAAAAAAAAAAAAAAGACAAAAATGTGCAGAAATGCGCAGATGCGAATGGAGTCGCAGACACAGTCGCAGACTTCGCGTTCACCTTGCCAGCGATCGAATTTGAAAGTCAAATCATTGGAGCCGTCAAGGTGAAGGGCCTGCCACACTCTCCCGCTTCCCCTCCCCCCCCCCCCCCCCCCCCCCCCCCATCACTCTCTCCCACTCTCTGCTTACACATCGTTTGCGTTTGAGGAATACGAACAAACAAAAAAGTTTTAAAAAAAAACCATAAAATAAAATGCGTTCTGCCACTAATCAGACACACTTGGTTGATCGCGGATGATCTGTGATTACATTTCGGCCGAGAGACCGAAAGAGCGAAAGACCCACAGACGAAGAAACCAACAACTATTTTCTGCTTCTCCTCACTTATCTGCTTTATTTTATTTTCTTAATTTTAGCCAAAAGCTGGTTTCGAGCCAGACACCGCCTCGCTGCGAGAGAAAGTTGTGCTGAATCCGGCCGAGAAATGGCGCATCTTAAAGAATATCTCGATTATCTCGATTGCATTTATGGTGCAGTTTACAGCATTTCAGGTAAGTGATCGTTCAAAGAACTCCAACTTTGTAATGCATAATTAGAATTGCAGTCGAAATGCCTTTGAAAGAATTTCATGTTAATGTAAAGAATAGGGCTAGAAAAGAATATATGAAATATGTGGAAAATAATTGAGAAACGCATTGTCATAAGCGATAAGAAAATAGATTTTAACAATTTATTTTTAACAATTTGTTTTTCGAAAAAAATATATACTTTTCATAATTATTTATTTAGAAGAAACCAAATATATTCATTAATTTTAAAGAAGCGAACAAAAACCCAAAGCATCATTCAATGGAATTAAAAATAATTTACAATCAAAGCTCCAGTTGACAAATACTTGTAAAAGGAAAACGGTTCTGTGTGACAAAAAAAGTTCAGATACAAGCTCAAAATAATTTTATTAAGAAAAATACAAACCACCCACAGTTTAAATAAAATGAAAAGCCAGTAGCTTTAGTCCTGTGGCATACAAAGTTATAAAATGAATTATGAATCTTAAAATGAAGGCACTAGCATTGCTGAGGCTTTAAAGGATACTTAATTTTGAACTTTAATAAGTATTGTTATTTAACACAATGCGCTTAATTGCCGTCTCTCTGCAGGGCACAGCCAATCTACAGTCCTCGATCAATTCCAAGGATGGCCTGGGCACAGTGTCGCTGAGTGCGATTTATGCGGCTCTGGTCGTCTCCTGCATATTCCTGCCCACACTGATCATTCGGAAGTTGACGGTGAAATGGACGCTAGTGTGCAGCATGCTCTGCTATGCACCCTACATTGCATTCCAGCTGTTCCCACGATTCTACACACTGGTGCCAGCTGGCATTCTAGTGGGCATGGGGGCGGCGCCAATGTGGGCGTCGAAGGCCACATATTTGACACAAGTGGGCCAAGTGTATGCGAAGATCACTGATCAGGCGATCGATGCGATTATTGTGCGCTTCTTTGGCTTCTTCTTTCTGGCCTGGCAGTCCGCTGAGCTTTGGGGCAATCTGATCTCTAGCTTGGGTAAGTCGGCGTTGTGCGACGGCCTTCCATATGACATTGATTCATTTGCATTCTTTTTCCCTCTGCAGTTCTCTCCAGCGGTGCCCACGGCAGCGGTGACTCAAGCAGCGCAAATTCCACCATTAGCGAAGATGATTTGCAGTATTGTGGTGCCAGTTTCTGCACCACTGGCGCCAGCGGACACGGCAATCTGGAACGTCCACCAGATCATGAGATCTTTGAGATTTCGATGATCTATTTGTCCTGTATTGTTGCTGCCGTCTGCATTATAGCCTTCTTCCTGGACCCCCTGAAGCGTTACGGTGAGAAGCGTAAGGGTTCAAATTCTGCCGCTGAGATATCGGGTCTCCAGCTGCTCTCCGCCACATTCCGCCAGATGAAGAAACCCAATCTGCAGCTGCTCATTCCAATCACCGTGTTCATTGGCATGGAACAGGCCTTCATTGGCGCTGACTTCACCCAAGCCTATGTATCTTGCGCTCTGGGCATCCACAAGATCGGCTATGTGATGATCTGTTTCGGCGTGGTTAATGCCCTCTGCTCTATTCTGTTCGGATCGGTAATGAAATACATTGGCCGTACACCTATCATTGTTCTCGGCGCTGTCGTTCACTTTACACTCATCTCCGTGATGCTCTTCTGGCGCCCAAGTCCCGACAATCCCATCATCTTCTATGCCATGTCCGGCCTTTGGGGTGTTGGTGATGCCGTCTGGCAAACACAGATCAATGGTCTCTATGGTCTACTCTTCAGACGAAACAAGGAAGCTGCCTTCTCCAACTACCGTCTCTGGGAATCGGCTGGCTTTGTTATCGCCTACGCTTATGCCACAACGCTCTGCACCCGCATGAAGCTCTACATTCTGCTTGCGGTTCTCACGCTCGGCTGCATCGGCTACGTCATTGTCGAAATTCTGTACAGAAAGAAGGTAAGTTAAATAAATGCAATTATACACACATACTATACATACATATATGGATCTCAATAGGGACTACTCTATAAGTAATATGTTTTTATGAACTTTTTTGAGAAAGTATTTTATTGCGCAACTTTATTATTCTTACGCATGACGTCACAATAAGCTCTCCAGAGTGCGCTGCAAATGTGCGTGCTCTGTCGCTCCTGTCTGTCTCTCCCTGTGAGTCGCACATTCACGAAATCAATATTTTTGAAGACTCTTAAATAATTTCTTTGAGGATTTTGAAATGCAAAACATATATTTTGCGAAAAAGTCGCAATTTATATGCAATATAAAAAACTCGCCTGATTATGGAGAACATAGCATTACCTTATTGTAGAAAAGCAGCATTACATTGAATTGATTTTTAAAAATCAGATAATTAATAAACACAGCTCGGTTAGAAATCAGAAAAATTATGCAAATAATTATTTCAAATCATTCATAATATGTATTTATAAATTCTGCATTACAGCAACGCAAGATCAAGAAGCAAGAGAAATTGGAGGCCGCCGAGAAGGAGAAGGAGGCTGCTGCCGCCGCCGCTGCTGCTGCTGCCGCTGCCGAGGCGAATGTCGGCGTCGACGGCGTCGAGGAGACCGATGATGAGCTCGATGATCTCGAAGAAGATATTGTAGTCACGCGTCTGTAATAATCTAACAAAGCAAAAGCAAAAACAAAACTCTATCTAACCTGTTGATTGTTGTATGTTCTATTTGTTTGTTTTGTCTTAACGCCGCCGTCGACGTCGTCGTCGCAGTCGCAGTCGCTGCTGTGACGGACGCCACAAAAAAAGCGTTGCATACACGCGGGCGCGCTCTTTCACATACCACACTACACAGACACAGACACACACGCATACGTACGCGCGCGCGCACACACACACGCACGCACGCATGTGGAGTGTCATTTGATTTGTCGTCGTTGTATCTAGTTTATAGAACATTAGTAGTACATTAAAAAAAGAAAACAAAAGAGAAAAAGAAAAAGTAAACAAAACAAAACCGAAAAGAAAAACTTTAGCACAAAGACCAAACACGAGCGCACCTCCTTGTGTCCATGTGCGTGTGTGTGTATGTGTGACTGTGGTAGTGTGTGTGTGTGTGTGTGTGTCGCGTGCCCTTTAGTTTGTAAATATCGTTTGAAGAGAAAGTTGAACTTCGTGTGTAGTTGTTGGAAAGGCCTTAATCGCAAGCAACTCTGTGTGTTAAATTAGGTGTAAGCGCACATACATACATACACACACACACACCAACATGCACCCACGCACACGCTGCATGTGTGTGTGTGTATACGCCTAATAAATTGTTATTTTATTTTAAAATATTTTAATATACATTATAGTCTACAATGAATATAATTTTGTTTCATTATTATTATTATTTTTTTTTGTTTTTTTTTCCTTGTGGTTGCTAACGAACGAAACGTGATAATTGCACACACACACATATATATAGACACACACACACCCACACACAACACACATAGACAACTTTTTGCTCAAAGCAAAGAATTAAAACTTTAAAAGAAAAAGTCACAAAATAGTCAAATTTGTAACTGGCCGCTAAAAAAATAGTAATTGAAGAAGAAGAAGAAGCGAAAATAAACTATGTACTATAGAAATTGTTTAAAAGGCAAAACGGCAAGCGAAGAAATCAAGTTTTGAAATTCTTTTTCAAGCAAAAAATTTTAGTAAAAAAATTTTAAATTTTTTGCTCAGTATTATGTTTTAAACTAAACTTAAGTGAGTTACTGTTTCCTGTTCCATATACATATATATATATATATAATTTTTTTTCAATTTTTTGTTTATTCTTTGAAATTTTATTTTGACAATGCGTTTGTTTTGCGAAAAACATTGGCTTTGAAGCAAGGAACTCCGTTCAATTGCAAATATTATAAATCGAAAATATACATACATATATACAAATTCTTCGTTTTATTGAAAAGTTCTACCTAATTATATAAATAAATAAAAAGCAATATTGAAAAACAAAAAAATCATAATTATAAACCTCTTTTTTTTGCCTAGCACCTAAGTAGTTCATTATATTATGTAAAATATGAAAAGAAATAAATCAATATGAATATGTATTTTAAAGAAACTTACAAATGTTTTCATTCATCGAATCAATCATATGGTTGATAATATAATACTGACTGCTAATAAATTTGGGGAGCCTGCTAAACAAATTGTAGCTGCTTGGCTCCCTTTCACTGCATTAGTCTACAAAATTAAAACGAATACAAGTACATTCTGAAATGCATTATTCCATTGGTCCTATGTTAGGGAGAGTGTTTTGCCGCCTTCTGCACGTTGTGGTACGAGATATTCCAGCGTTTCGATCGCTTCCGACTCCTTGCAATTCATGCACCTGTTGCCTGTTGTGATGCCTGGTTTCTTGGCAGTTCTAATTCTAATTCAAAGCTTTATTCTGAAAAGTGTAGACACGTTAACGGCAGCCATTCCCGAAGTCTAGACTCCGAATCTCCAAGCTGACATTGTAATCCAGGCATATACTGCCCTCATGCAACGCTAGAGGAGTCAGTTTGGTTGGGACATCTCTTGTCCTGCAATTTGGAAACGTAGGCCTGTTGTGAGTCTGCATTCTTTCACTCTGGAGTTGCAAGCGGAATTGGGCGGGTATATTGCTTTGGCGATCATGTGGTTGGCCCACAGTGGTTCCCCGCTGTCTATTCCCTCCCTCACCAGAGTGTCGGCCATCTTATTGCCCTGAATGGCCCGCTTAGCTTAGCTTAGCCTACTACTGCCTCCCTGCTCGCCAGATGCATGGATTATACATATAGCCCGCTCATGCGATCTTTTTGTGATCGGAATACAGATATTAAGTTCGTGAAAAATTAAAGCCAGACAATTTTCTCTCTCTGTTGCTAAATACATAGCAACATCTTCGCTGCAAATAATTGTTGACTTTTCTGCACAAATTTTGCAAAATTAGACAATAGGCAGCTGCTATTTAAAGACTGCACCTGTTTATATAAATATACATACAAGTATATGGGGTTTACCATGCCCTCTATCAGATGTTTTAAGACGTACTGCACGTACTGCCCGACGGAGTAATCAGTTGAAGTTCAAAAACTCATTGTGTCTATCTTTACGAGCTTCGTTTACATTTAAGCCAATAATGCGGAGCACACGTCACGCCGCAATTTGGCTGATCGTGGGACACGTAAGCGATACAAAACAAAAAAAAAGTAAATCGATGTTGGAAAATCGAGTAAAATGTAATTTATTCTAGTTTAATAAATAGAAAGTACATCAAGTAAGCATTAAGAATAATTGAAAGGGCATGCGCTGGTTATAGTATGCAAGGCTTTCGACGTTTCTTAAAACTTACAATTCGAGGCGATGCGAACAAAAAACAATGTGAGTGCAGAAGGCATGACGACGGAAGACTGATTATGAATGGTGTTGCGCATCAGGTCATGCATTGAAATGGGTACAGTGGAACATACAACATGCATCAAATAATATGCTTACAAACAAACACTTAATACTAAGTTGCTAAGCGGGGGAGTGCTTTTTACAGCACTATGGAATCATCCTCGTTGAACTTTTTGTTCTTGCGTCGTCGACTCGATTTGATTTTGCTGAGCACACTGTAGGCTTGTTGGATCTCAATAAAGCGTTGGTGCGCCGCCTTACGTTGCGTTTCATCCTTCACCTTATCGGGATGGAACTCTTTGGACAGCTTGCGATAAGCGGCCGTAATCTCTGACTGCGAAGCAGTCGCACTAACCCCAAGTACCTTGTATGCGTTGCGCTCTCCATCCACATCCATGCTCTCGAACACCTCCTTCCACGTCTCATACCAGCCATGATGCTGCGCATAGTTGTAAGTGTCGAGCAGCACCTGTTTAAGGTCGGTCCACCAAGCGGAGGCGAGGAAATTGTTGAGCGCCTCGTGTATGGGCACCTCTCCACCATCCTCATCCGAAATGGTGCCATTAAAGTATATAAAGCAGCCCCAAGCCGCAAAATAAATGCACAAAGCACCCGAAAACTTCAGCGTCCGTGTGCAGACCCCACGCCGAGATGGCGGAGTACGACGCCATTGCTTGGAGAAAGCATCGAAGATCAGTGATGAAAATATGGCCGTTATCAGCAGCGTATACGTCTCATCGTAGATGATGTAGCGTACTGGATAGGCCACTCCAGCGGCCACAAGACAGTGCCACAGCACGCCGCACTCTCGTCCCACATTACCGACAGTCCAGACACCCAGCGACACAAATATCGGTATGGACCAGTGTAGGAAGGTCCAGTCGATGCCAACAACAATTGTCTGCGGTATGGCCATGGCAACAAGCTGGCCAAAAAGATAGCCAATCATCACTTGGCCGAGAAATCGCTTCGACGAGTATGTAGGACGTGGATTGGCCTGCAGACGAGCCACAAATGACTTAATGAAACGTGGATCTTCGTTGGCGTCGCGCACGTACTCGGGTATCATAAAGATTTCACTCAGCCACCCGATACCCATATAACCGCCAATTGTGCACCACCACAGAAAGGCATGACGATCGCGATGCAAATATATGTGATGCAGGCCGAAGATGCCTCCAAATAGCCACAAAATGTACGCCACAACCACTGATTTTTGACTTGGCAGTGCATTGTACTCTTTGCCAGGTTTTCGCTTTTGATTCGTGTGCCCATTTTTCTTGATCAATGATTCCCCAACCGTACCATTGCCGTTCATCTGGCTAGGCGCCGCAGTCTGTTTGATGCCCATATGGAGTATATAGCTTTGGAAGAATAAAACGCAATCCACTTTATTAATTGCACAATTTTATAGGCCTCTCTACTGTGACACTTACCCGTGAGACCTAATTTCTCTTTCTTGTTAAAATCGTCACCGCGCACACTCCGTAGGTGTTGTAAACTTTCTCTTTTCACCAATTCTATGCACGCAGGCGCACCAAAAAAAACACGAAAAAATTCAATAGAACGGCCACATATGTAGAAATGTTCACAGGAATTAGTTTATTGGTTTTTCACGCTTCAATTTTTTTTATTAATTACACAGCAATTTGGTGACGATTTCTAACGGACCCATCGAATTACTAATTCGAGTCATTCAACAACAACGACTGTGTTTTCGTTCAAAAGAATGCGTAGCGGATTCTGGATGTAAGTCGAATGCAGTGTGACCTTAAATTCAAAAAGAGAAAAGACGAAAGTAACAGCGATTCAACAACGTGGCAACTCTAGCTTGTGCAAGCGCAGTCAACTCCATCGTTGTGCGCTTACTCTGGTATATATATACTAAAATAATCTTTGGTATTTATTTCTAATATTTTAAAATACGTACATATACTATTTACAATACATTTTACGTATTCTTAACATAATTTGCAAATATGAAAATGTGAACTTCATTTTAGAATTAGCTTCGAATATTTATGATGTTGGTTTTCCAGAAAATAAAGCAAAATTAAATTAAAAACCAATTAGCCAATAATAACATAAGACTATCAACATGGAAAATATTTCGTAAAATATTCGTCAATGATTTGTGGAGTTTATATTCTCATCTGGATTATCAGCAATTACAAATTTGTTTCCGTCCCCTACTAGCGGAATATAAGTTTAATGTTGATTATGCGTTATTATCCAGTATTGAGGGAGTCATTAAACTGTGAACATTTTAAAATGTACACCTCGTTTTATTCACTAAATATCGTCTACATGCATTCTTAGTGCTAACACGTATCTATATTATAGTTGTATATTAAAAAGAAATGTAATACACACATGGGCATAAGTACGCCTATATACTCTAGTATATATGACGATCGAATACAATGAACTTACATTAACATTTGAGCATCAGTGAAAGGAAACATGGTTAGCAACTTAAGCTAATTGTTATAATAAATACTACATTAATACATAATACGTCACGGCAAAAATGAGGCGCTTTCGTTGGATTAATAGTACACAAAGGTGATATTAAAAAAAAATATATATTAATGAAGAAAGAACCCTTAAATGTTAAGTGTTCCGAGCACTGGAACTATGTAATGAAAAAATGCTTGAGTGTGGTCGAATATTATCGGTAGATATTGTGGCACCCTTAGTTATTCTTCTTCTTGGGTTTCTTGGGATTGCGGGAGCGTGATTTGGCCTTACAGAGCGGACAGATCGGGGCATTTCGATGGATCTGCTGATGGCACGACAAACATGACTTCATCGGCGGTGGCTGCTGGCGCAAGTTCACATTGAAGTCCGAGCGAAACGATGGATGATGGCCGATGCCAATCGATGGGGTCTGTTGTAAACGGTTTGTTGGCGGCGGCGGTGGTGGTGGTGCTGAAAAATCGTTCTTACCCAAACGAGCAGCAGCCGCAGCGGCGGCAGCAGCAGCAGCGCCAGCGCTGCCCGCACCTGGCGGTGCTGGTGGCATAAATGCATGCCCTGGACCGCCGGTGCCGCCCGTGGGACCTGCTGAACCTCCGCCCGCACCAGGAGCGCCCGAATTGGTCTGCAGTGCGGTCACTGTGGCTTCCGGCATCAATGGGTGGCGAGCATGGGGACGTGCCAGCGAAGTGGGTTGGGTGGCTGCCGCAGCAGCGGCAGCGGCGGCAGCAGCAGCTGCTGACTGCGCAGCAACTTTGAGAAAATTGGTCTGAAAACGATCCTTCGATATAGGACTGCCTTCTTCTTCGTGCAAATCACGCAACGGACTCAGTCCGAGATAGTCGCGCCGCATGTGGTCGATTTGATATTTAAGCGCTAGATATTCCTCGTAAACGCGATTGGCCATATCGAAAGAGCGTGTCTGATTCTCTTTTGTCTGCTTAATGATATTCTCCATGTCGTTGATGTCTGCGTGTATTTGGCGCAACTCCTCAACGTGGGACATTTTCTCCTCCAACAAATGCTCCATTTCCTTGCGATACTCCTCCAGGCATTTCTCTTCATCATCACTCAGCTTCACCTCCTTGATAATGCGTACCTTAAGTTTCTCCAGCGCGAGTGTTTTGTCGCGTATATCTTTAATGGCCTCCAACTTGGCGTAGTAGTGGCGCTCATTGGAGCTCGAGATCTCGCTGGTGGCCATTTTTTTTATGACTGCTCCCCTATTGATTGTGTGTGACTAAAATGAAGTCAATGCTTTGATTTCCTATCACAGAAAATGTCAGAAGCGTCGTTGGGAACGGCTGTGCAATGCGTGAATGCACTTTTTAATTGAATTTAATTTCAGTTTTATTTACATTTACACTTTTTTCACTTCGTCTATTCTTCTTCTTTGTGTATTGTGTTTGCTTCAGTATGACTGCATTGCACGGACTTAATGACACCAAAACAGAATATTGTACACGGTCACTCTATTCTCAATTTACCGGTATAATCGATACCAAACTGTGTAGAGCTGCTTGACATTCTTTTTGTATAAAATCAAACCTAACACCAGTCAATAGCAATTGCACGAATTTTATGAATCGTATTTACAAAAATATGTCAAAATTTAAATAAATTACAATTCTCACACTTTGATAAACAAATTTATTTATACACTTAAACTCGTTAACAAAACCATTAAATTACGCTGACAACCCTATTGTCGTTGTCGTCCATTCTCCAGACAAAAGGAAGCCTCTAGAAGATTTTGCAACATCATGACGTCGAATGAAAATTTGATTACCTCAATCAAAAGTTTTATTGAATATGTGGATAAAAATCCAACCATCCTCAACATGCCGCAGCTCAGCTTCGTGAAGGAATTCATCGAAAGGTTTGGTGGCAAAGTACCGGAAGGCGAATTCAAGATGCCGGAGGAGGGGTAAGTTTTCGCAATCTGGCGTCACATGTTCCGGCATTTGCAAAAAGAATTTGTTTCTATTTGCTTACATATGCACTGTTTATGGTCGCCGGTAAATAATATACGTATGTGCATGTTTGCTCCGTTTTATTTTCCAGAAAATGCCCCTTTGGAGGCGATGCCGGTGCAAAACCAAAAGCGGCTGAGCCGACTGTGTCCCCCCCAGAGTCCGAAGACTCTGAGGACGAGACCGTTTCTGGGCCAGAATCCGATGTTGAGTTGGACATGGAAGGTGCGTCAACACCAAGATTATAGCAAAGATTACGTGTCTTTTATTAATTGCCATTTGTATTATATGTACATATATGTGGTTTATTGCAGGCGTTATTGAGGCCGATAATGATCCTGCCCAGCCCATGGGCGATTCTAATAAAACACCCACTGAAGAGGAAATTGATCAGGCTGGAGAATTGCGTGCCCAAGCCGCCAGTGCCTATAGTGAGCAGAAATTCGAGGAAGCCATCACTTTCTATACCCAAGCCATTGAGCTTAATCCGGGAAATGCTCTATTCCATGCTAAGCGTGGTCAGGCCTTCCTCAAGCTGAAGAAGCCAAATGCATGCATACGTGACTGCAACAAAGCCTTAGAACTGAATTGCGATTCGGCTGCAGCCTACAAGTTCCGTGGCCGTGCTCATCGATTGCTTGGCAAGTTTGAGGAGGCTGCCAAGGATTTACGTCAAGCATGCAAGCTTGATTTCGACGAAGAAGCCGACGAGTGGCTGCGTGAAGTGACACCGAATGCCAAGAAAATCGAACAGCACCGCATCAAGCAGGAGCGCACACAGGCAGAACGTAAGATCAAGGAGCGGCAGCGTGCCCAGAGAAAAGCGCGCAAAGAGCAGGAAAAGCAGAGTGCTAATGCAACTGGTAGTGCTGGCGCAGGCGGTTTTCCAGGTGCCGGTGGTTTTCCTGGGGCTGGTGGATTCCCTGGTGCTGATGGCTTCCCTGGTGCTGGCGGGTTCCCTGGGTTCCCGGGTGCTGGCGGCGGCATGCCTGCCGGCTTTAATATGGCCGATTTAATGTCGAAAATGAAGGACCCTGAGACGGCGGCCGCTATGCAGGATATACTCAGCGATCCGTCCAACATCTCTAAATATATGTCGAATCCGAAGGTATTTAATTTATTGAATGCCATCTTCCCCGGTCGTTACCCCGGCGGCGGTGCCACAGCTGGCTCTCCATTTGGCGATGCTAATCCTCCCGATACGGAGGCCAAGGCCAGCGAGACTACCGAGCCAAGTGCCACCAAGAAGGGATCGGCCGATTTTGTCGACGATGGACTTGATTAAAAAGTGCTTGTTACAGCGTGCACCAAGAATAAAAATATATTCGCCTACCAAAAAAAGCAAGCTACGAAAAGAGCCGCAACATCCACCAGCACCACCACCATCATGAAAAACACAAACAGAGCAAGACGGCAACAACAAGATACCATCACTGTTCGTGGAAACAAACACAAAACACTCAAATGGCGCAATACCCAAAAACTAAATAGGCTTTGCTCTGTGGCTGTTGTGCGAAGCATTCTCTAATGTTTTTGTATTTTTTTTTTTTTCTTTAAGCACTTATTTGCCATATTGAAATTCTAAATTCCTTATTAATCTAGCGCTTGTCGATGATAAATAGTTGAACTAATGCTCGATAAGTAATGAAAAATAATCACACAATATGTATGTTAACAAGTTAGCGTTATTTATAATGGAACACTAAAGGGTCCACACAGCACCCACACACACACTTATAGTATATACATAAATACAACGCACTAGTTTCCATTTATTCTTAAAGCATAGCAAACGAAAATCATTTTGTGAAACAAAATTGTACTGAATAGGGATTTGAATAATATATAAGCAAATGCATTTAGCCACTCATACATACATCCACTCAAACATTCATGTAATCATCTACATACATACATATATGGAAACTCATATGCCCTTACATGCAAACATGTCGAACATAAATTCATGAAAAATTTAAAATTAAACCTACATACATATTATATCAAACACATACAATACGTTTCTGCGTTTTCTTTTCTGCAATTATATCAATCCTTTTGTGTGTTTCAATTTGAATCGAGATCTAACTGATCCAAAATGTAACCCGCAATGCAATCAACATATTTGTTCTGAAATTTCCTAATATCGTTTATCATTCTTAATTTACTTAATTTGATGTCCTAAAGAGAATACCTGTTTTTTTTTTTTTTTAATTTAACCTTTTTTATCGTTTTTATATCCTTCCAAAATGAAAGGAAATGCATGATTCGTTACGATCCCTTATACTACATACGAGTATGTTGCAGCTTGTATGCCAACAAATTTGTTCCTTTCCCTCATGATATAGAAACTTAAAGTTGATTCGGAACCGATTCTGGTAAAAATGGTTCCCAAATCAACAAAATTAGTAAAACGTTCTAAAAAGCAATTGGCTTTAAAAAATATATATCTTATTGATACAAATGTGATCTCATTGGCTTTTAATACTCCAACAATATATGAAAAATACAATCATATTGGTTCACTACGTCGCATCGACAGTAATAGTAGTTTTAAAACGTTATTATATTCCAATTGTAAACATTTAAAAGTTAAAAGTTAATAACATGAGAAAATAAAATTTAAATAGAAAACCACACCTAAAAAAATCAATAGGCTGCACTCAACTTGATTAAAAAATGTATTTTAGTTTTAGTACAATCTCGACTGAAGAGTTATTTATTGGGAACTTGTAAACCAAAAATTGAAAAAAGTGTGGGTGTCGAAAAAAATTTAAATGGAGCGTAATTTGCGCCGAATAGCCAAGTTGGCAGGGTACTTGTATCTATCCTCGTATTGGTAGCACTGGATTTAAATGCAGCGTAATGTTATCGAATGAGTATCGACATAGTTTCATCGGCCATCGCTTCATCGGCTATCGCTTCACATTAATATAGCGCGAAAATTTACAATTTGTAAGCACGGATAAAGTTAACAAACAAAGAAGAGAAATGGAAGTTTCACAGACAGTAAGCAGACAAGAGCCTGTCCTTCATTTGGGTAAGTCCTTGGCGAAGAAATGTAGCAGCAGTTTTACATACATTTCGTATTTACAGACACGAACGCTCGTCGCAATTTCATCAAATTTTATACAAAGTTGGGCGAGGTGAGCCTTTTTTATTTACATTAATCAAACAGTTTTGGAAAAATTTGAATTAATTGTTTCATTTTATAGAAACCCAGTACCACGGTACGTTTTTTTGATCGCACAGACTGTTACACAGTGCATGGCAGCGATGATTGCGAGCTGGTGGCGAAGATCGTCTATAAATCCACTGCCTTTGTGCACGATCTGCTGCCCGATGATAAGCAGCAATCGTTACAGTTTGTAGCACTATCCAAGTCCAACTTTGAGTTGGCTGTCCGCGAGCTGTTGTTGGTGCGTAATTTACGTGTGGAGGTCTATGTGCGTCACAATGATTGGGAGCTGGAATATCGAGGATCGCCAGGAAATTTGCTGCAGTTCGAGGACATTCTGTTTGCCAACAGGGAAGTGTTGGTCGGCAACAGTATAATGTCGCTGCAGGTGAAGCTGGGAAACGGAGCGCAGCGTTCAGTGGGCGTGACTGCTGTGGAGCAAAACGATTGCACTTTTCAGATGCTTGAATTCATAGACGATGACTTCTTCACCGAACTGGAGGCCACAGTGGTGTTGCTGGGCCCCAAGGAGTGTCTGCTGCCCTCAGCCGATGGTGAATATTTGGCCGTGAAGACTCTTTTAGAACGCAATGGCGTTATGGTCACTGTGCCCAAGAAAGGCAGTGCTGCTGAGCGCAAGGATCTGGTGCAGGACTTAAATAAGTTGGTGCGCTTTGCCAAAGGTCAGCAGGAGGATGCCAGTGGCATGAAGGAGCTGCAAATGCTACTCGCATCGGAAGCACTACGCGTGGCCATTAAGTACTTGGATTTGGTTAACGATGCCGGCAATCTGGGTCACTATGAGTTAAAGCTGCTGGATTTGAAGCGATTCGTGCACTTGGACTCAGCGGCTGTTGCTGCATTGAACATAATACCGAAGCCGGGCATTCATCCAACATCCCCCTCGTATCGCTGGCAGAGCATTCTGGGCGTTCTCGATCATTGTTGCACGGCCCAAGGACATCGCTTGATGTCACAATGGGTCAAGCAGCCTTTGCGCAGTCAAGAAATACTGAATGATCGCCACAATATAGTCGGCTGTCTGTTGGAATCGCCCGACACTCTAGATACTCTGCATTTGGACTACATGAAGCGCATTCCAGACATCCTGATGCTTACAAAGCGACTAATGCGTCGCAAGGCCACTCTGCAGGATCTATTTCGCATATATCAGGTTATGCTGCGCACACCCCAAATACTTAAGGTTTTGCTCAGCCTGGAGAACTCAACCGTACAAAGCGTTATATGTGATCCCTTTAAAAGCAACCTCGAGGATTTGAGCGGTCTTAAGCAAATGGTGGAGCAAGTAGTCGACTTTGATGCCATTGAGACGGGCGAATATTTGGTCAAAGCCTCTTTCGATGACCAGCTCAAGGAGCTTAAGGCCAACATGTCTGATTTGTATGAAAAAATGGAACGCCTGCAGTCCAAGTGCCAAAAGGAGCTCAACTTCGATAGCAAACAGCAAGTTAAGTTGGAAAACGTTGCCAAATTGGGATATCATTTTCGCATCACCCTCAAGGATGATTCTGTGCTGCGTAAAAATAAAAACTACCGTATTGTGGATGTCATTAAAGGCGGCGTTCGTTTCACATCCGATAAACTGCAGGGCTATGCTGATGATTTTGTCAAATATCGCCAGCAGTATGAGGAGCAACAGCAGTCCATTGTCGCGGAAATTATTCAAGTGGCTGTGGGCTATTCGGCCCCACTAACCTCCCTCAACAACGAGCTCGCCCAGCTGGATTGTTTATGCAGCTTTGCGGTCGCAGCACGTTCGGCACCCACTCCCTATGTACGTCCTACGCTATTGCCCCCCGGCAGTGGAAAGCTGCTGTTGAAAGATGTGCGCCATCCATGCCTTGAACTGCAGGAACATGTGGACTTTATAGCCAACAGTGTCGACTTCGAGAAGGACAAATGCAACATGTATATTATAACCGGCCCCAATATGGGTGGCAAGAGCACTTACATACGTTCGGTGGGCACTGCTGTGCTGATGGCTCATGTTGGCGCTTTTGTGCCCTGCACCGAGGCTACCATCAGCATGGTCGACTCAATTTTGGGTCGTGTGGGCGCCAGTGATAACATTATTAAGGGTCTGAGTACGTTCATGGTGGAGATGATTGAAACTTCGGGCATCATAAGGACGGCCACGGATCAATCTTTGGTCATCATTGATGAGTTGGGACGCGGCACCTCCACATATGAGGGTTGTGGCATCGCTTGGTCAATTGCCGAGCATCTGGCTAAGGAAACCAAATGCTTCACGCTCTTCGCCACACATTTCCATGAGATAACAGAGCTGGCCGAGTCCCTGTCAACGGTCAAAAACAGTCACATGGCTGCTGTCGCAGATGACAAAAATTTCACGCTTTTATATCAAGTACGTCCGGGCGTAATGGAGAAGAGTTTCGGCATACAAGTTGCGCGCTTGGCCAACTTTCCCGAGCATGTGGTCCAGCACGCAGAAATGGTGTATAATGAGTTCGAGGACGAACATGCCGATAAGCAAAATGAAGCCGATAAAGCACTGCTGGCCAAGATTGAAGTGGCCATCGAACAGCTATCCACTGCGGGCAACAATACGGAGATTAATACGGAGGATCTCACCCAGCTGGTCACACAATTCGCACAGGATATCAAACAATTGGATAGCGATTATTTCAAAGCAGTGATAAGCACAGGAAAAGCTAAATAGTGTTGTGCTTAAAATGTGCGCATCTCAGAGAGGATGAATCAAAAGGCTTAGTTTTTATAGTGAGGCTTAAAGAAACTGGGTTTCCTAAACTATCCAATCTCATTCTGAAACTTGACATAAAAAAACGAAGCGGCACTTATCATGGAGCTTACCATTAGAGTACCTTCAATTCACCACGCATCACATAAAATAATTTATTTTTGAACCATTTTTATAAGAATCCATACAACACATTTTTTTTTTGTCCCAAGAATCCGAATTTTTAATTTGTGGCTTGTAACATAAGCCTCCAAAAACATTCCTGTTGGAATTATTACAAAAAGTGGAAAGATATTAATATTTATTTTAAGAAACAATATAAAATTAAGATGTTTTTGGGTGCCAATTCCAAAATTCATTGCCCTTCAGTTTGACTGAAGATTGAAAATCATTTATTAACTGAAAAATGTTATACCATCTATATCAGATTGCATAAAATATATATTGAAACAGAAACTAAACTTAAAGTTATTTTTTCTCATCATGGGTTCAAAAAAGAATCGAATAAAATTTGACCCTCAAGACAAAATTTTGAAGACACTTTTATTGGTTTATGTAAGTGTAAATTTCATCTTGTTGGAATACCGTTTAATTTATTATGTTTTGTTTTAACAGAACAATCCTGCACATTCCTACTAATAAAATAATTACGTACACCATTCTGCTTTTAAACTGGAGTTAAATGTATGGAAGAAAAAGTGAAGTAATTTTAAGAACTATTTAATTTGTATTTAAATAGCTTTATCATTCATATCAATTAATAATACCCATTGCTTACGTCCTTTTAACTTATCTATAGGATATTGTTACTAAGAACTCAAAAATTGTTGGGATTTTAAAAATGCAATTTTGCTTAAACAGATTCAAGTCATATTGAGTAATAAACTTGTTTTCTAAAATCAGGCGCAACTGTTGTTAATTCTTAACAATATAATATTTTGTATTTTATTAATTTCATTCTCAAATTATTCTTATATGTATTTGCAACTTCTTGGTTACCAAATGGATATTAATTTTACTTTTAAAGCTTGGATGTACATAGGCATCTATTGTTAAGAAAAGAATTTACCTCATTTTTCCCAAATTTATTATTCTTTGTCCAGTCCATCAATACATTATTATTGTTCTGCTATTTGTCTCATTGGACATAATGGGGACAACCACCTTGAGCATGTAGGCGGCCGTCTTTTGTTAAGAGCCGCCGGTACGCCCTTAAGTAGGCAACGCACGCGCCTCTCCTTACCCACATGGCTATTTTTGGAACGCTGAGGCAATCAAATTTGTTAATTGTGCCGCATATTAACACATAAAATGCTAGCAAAGCCGCAAATATACTACATGTTCATTACTCACAGTTTATTTGTTTAATTCATTTAAGGCTGTTCAGACCTGTATGCTAAAATATGCACGAAGGCAAAGCGCCCGCACAAACACACACACACTTGCATTTTGTAAAACATTCTACGTTAGTGCATATGTATGAGTAAGTAAGTGGCGAGAAAAATATTTGCATTAATAGTTTGAAAAATAATAACACGTTGTCTGATAAGAACGTTTCGGGTGCTAGAGTCGTTCGAGTCCGACTTTTGTAAACCCTTTACCCGCCCTTTCTCGCTCTCTCCGGTTCAGGCTTTTAACTAAAATTAACTTTGCTAAACGGCAGCTAAATACTACTATATATTACTAAATTCAGATTCAGATAATATGGGACATTAAAAATAACTTTTAAATACCAAATTTGTCTGCGAAATCTTCACAAAGAAAACACATTTTTGGTACTAATAGATATTTTTGTACCTATGGTAGCTATATGATGTAGAGCAACGGCTCTACGGACTAAACTTCAGATTAAGGTAGGGCATTAAAACAGAATTCTTTTATGGTATTTTAATAAACAAACAAGTTGTTGGCACAAAGAGCGAAACTAAAATGTTGTTATGATATCTCAATGAGCGTCAAAGTTATTCAACCATGTGTGATTTTTCCACCGATTCAGTTCTATCTCAGCAATATGTATATAAGTAGTACAGTATTGAGGCTATATACAACGAGTTTGTTGTTTGTAAATGATTTCGGTGTTTATACGGCATACGGATATTTTTGCAAGGGTCCTATAACATAAAGATTGCCACGCCTTTCTAATTTGTACATATACCCTTTAATACATCAAAAACAGACGATTTGCTTATATTAACCCTTAGCATTGATTACTGACACACTGACTGCTTTTGATGAACACATGTACATACATATGTATGTATGTAAATATATGCATGTGTAGTATATCAGTGTGAGAAAGCCACTCACACCGTCTATCTTGCGGCCTCGTCAGCACCATTTCCCACAAGTATTACTCATACGCATCGTTGCCTTGCGGGCACAACAACTCATGGCACTGCTCTCAGCTCTCAAATGCAATGCATAGCCGCTCGCGCTCCCTCTCTACCACACACACACACTCTCGCTCTCTCTCTCTCAGCAGTTGCAGTTAACTTTTCAAGTGAGTCACACACGACCAATAGATACTACATAGTTAATGGACGCAGGGGAGAGCAAGAAAAGTGCAGTAAAAATGCTCGTAAAAACTAATAGAGGGTTACAGTTACAGCTACCGCGCCTGAGACTGTGCCTGACTCCGACTGGGTGTGTATGTGTGTGTTTGCTAAGGCCGAAACAATAATAGCCAGATGTAATAGCCAATAGTCAGTCAATGGGAGTGCGTGCCAGTAGCAGTCCGCTCAACATTATGACGTCAGCGACGCCGACGACAGCTGGACTGCTCTAGCTGGGCGTTGTCGATACCAACGCACAGTGGGTGGAGAATAAATTAGTTCTAGTGGGTTTAAATAAATTAAAATCTGCGCAATAATCAATTAAAAAATGCTTTAAATTACGATAGCAAACATTGCGACTGAATTTATGTGTTAAAAAATTAAATATTAGCATTATTATTTTAAAAGAAGAACACAGAAACAATTTAAATTCGTAAAAAAAAAACAGTTCTATAATTAATACGATTTATTTGTATGCATATATTTTTTATTTATAATCAACTATTGGTAATTACAATAGCTCCGGAAGGGGCATTTTCTAAAAAGCTGAGGGGAGGGCGATGATTTTAAGTTAATCGTAAAAATAAGAATTAATATGATCAGATCAGCTTCCTTACTAAACATTTAAAAAAAAACAATCGGTGATGAACATGAAAAGGTTATTTAAAAAAGTAATCTTAATTAGCAGAACAACATTGAGGACGCACAATTAAATATCTGACAAATTATTATTTATTAAAAATGTGTTTACCAAAAATGTTTGTGTAAATTGATTTCTAGCAGTGGAGCCTTTCTACCACTGTGCGACGCTGCTAACAAAAAGCGTAAACGAAATTGAAAACACTTTTCGATTTCAGTTTCGTTTCAAACGTACGCGCGCCAAGTCGCAACAATTCGAAAACTCATCAAGCAAGCAAATTAGACAACAACAAAAAATTTCAGAAAAGCGGCAGCGATTATTTCGTGTTTTATTTTCGACAATCCAAAAAGTAAGGCATACATATAGCAGCAATATAAAACATACATATATACCAAGACCCAACTTATGTACATACATACTTGTATACTCATATTCGCCCATATACTACAAAATTGTATACATAAATATTTGAGGACCTAATGTGCGTGTGTGAAAAATCAACTAATTTTGGCACAACTGTTGCTTTTGCTCAAATTTTAGAAACACAAAACACTGCCAATTGGGTGCAGAAGTAATGCTTCTTATAATTTACAGAAATGTATACGAAGATATTACTGTTTTTGTGAATTAGCGATAAAGCGTTTATATCCCAACTTGAACTTATTTATGCATTTATGCAATAAAAAACAAAATAAAACAATGCCCAATTGAAGAAGTTTGTGTTGGACTGTTATTTCTTTATTGAGGAATGTCTTTCCAATAGAACAGTTACTAAAATCCTTAGAAAGCCAATCGGTAGTGCCATTTGTTGTTTTTTTTTTGTTTTTTTTTTTGTTTTGTTATTAAACGTAAGTATTCAAGGTTTTTGAATGATGCCATGCGTGGGTGGGACTCTGACACCAATTAAAAATATATAGTTAAAGCTCCAAATTAATGAGATTTTAGCATTTTTTGGGTGATCACTACAACAGCTCTTCTATTATATACCTTTTTTGATAATTTCTACTTTTGTTAGTCCATTACTTCAATGTTATGGAAATGTTTTCAAAATCTAGGTTTCCTTTCTCTACCCACTGCATGATTAGCTTCTTATAACAAATAATTTGGAACAACAAAACAATAATTGTGGCATGCCTAAACCGGGTCTGAAGTCTTAGAAAGCTTATCGGTTCATTCATTCAATTCCTTCCTTCATTTATGTTTTCAAATTTATATATGTAGCATATGTAGGTTGAACTATCAGAGTTAAACCCAAAAGGCAAAAATGATTAATTCTTCCAAAAATTACAAAAGTATATAAGAAGTTCCTAAATTATATATTTACTTAAATGAATGTAAATGTCAAATCAAGATTTTGTATTTCCTAATTAATTGTGTACATCCAATTCTTCGTTCCAAAAATATATATAAAGACTGCCTTGTCGCTTATAATTTCATATTGAAATTGATTTTAAAGCTCTTTTTATTGAAATGAAATTAAAAGGAAATTCCTTTCCCTTTTAAAGAGCAACGGCACATTTATCTCATATTCTAAAAAATTAATTATTTAACCATTATTTAACGTGTAATTTTGCATGCTTAAAATAATTCTTCCGGAATATACATGCATAGATTTAATTTAATATATATTTAAAAAAAAGGTAAAATAATGGGAACCTTTTCTCATTAAATGTACATCATTTCACATTCTGAAAGGAGGAAACCCAAAGCATAATAAAGCAGTGTGAGTCGGCTTTTTAGCAAAATATCCCGTAAAGTTCATATCCAGTACCATTACCTGCATATTGCACTCTTTTCTGCACTGTCTGCGATTTTGTTGTGCACTCATTGGTCCCAAACACATACAAACATACCTTCAACTCGAACATGCATACATGCATAGGCGCGCGTGTGTGTGTTTGTGAACTTTCGATGATCTCATGCCCATGGAGCGCGAGAACGCGTGTAGTGCGAAGAGAAGGCAGCGCCAGTTGACTTTGACGAGCGATCACAATATTGTGTTGAATTATTTGCACACACTGTGGGCTCTAAACATGCAACAAGTTAATGTGCAAGGTTACGCTCATTGCACAAAATTTGCAAGAGAACCAACCGTTAGAGGGCAAAACGATACCGATAACAGTTTATCAGCAAAAGAATGCTTTTCTCTTATCAGTCAGAGCACTTCGTCACAGTTCTGGTCGCTAAGTTGTGTTTATTTATGTATGTATGTATGTACATATGTATGTATGCATTTGTTTTTTCTTCTTTACCGCTCTGTTTTGATCAGAAAATTGGTGAGGGCGGAAATTAAATTTTTACAACTCGCTGAATACACACACATATACATACAATACATACATACATATGTACATTAGTACAAATTACATTATTGCTTAATTTAATGTAAAATTCTCATTAACATTGCATTGCCGAAAGAGCAACAAAACAGAAAACGGAAAACAACAACATTGTTGTTGGTGTAAGCTATGCATAACATTAGACGAGACGTGCCATGATATCATTTTGCCCAAAGTAGAAAATAATAACAATAAAAAAACGAAACAGCAACAACAACTTCGGAACTCGTTAAATGGAGATGTTTGTTGCTGTTGTCGGTATTATGTTTAAATTATGCTTAACCGAAACAAAATAAAGAAAAGAACAACAACAACAAATAAAATAAAACGTAATCAGCATTCCTATCCACACATAAAGCTTTAAACAAATTGCGTCTCTAAATGAAAGAATCAGCGAGTCGGTCTAATTTTAGGCTTAAAACCGTAGTCGCGGCTCATTCTTAATTCGTCAGCATGCTTCACAGAGCATATCGAATAGTTGTTGTTATATTGTTTGTTCGAACATAAGCTGATAATTCTGTTCCATCCGCCAGAGTCCCAACAAACAGGTCAGAGCTTTGGTTTTTTGTTGTTTGTTTTGTTATGGAAGGCAATATGGGCGGTGGTGGCTTCCTTTTCCCCTCTCTTCTGTCTTCCAGCCATAATCAGGTCGTCTCGTCTCTATTAATAATCGCGCATCGTACTCTCTGGGCCATTTGCTTGTTGTTTTGTTTTTTGTTTTGATTTATTTGCTGTAAGTCCATCACGTCATGCCGATGATGGCGTCATCGTCATCATCCGAAGTCGTCATTCGTGGGCAACAGTTGGCAGAGGAAATATTCGACTGGCTGACTGACTGACTGACTAATAGCATTTGATTACCATGCCTAGAAAATATTATACTCGTATACATACATATATGTATACAACATATACATACATATGTATAGTATGTTTATACGTTCAGACATGCCGGTATTCCATAAAACCGCACCCATATCATACATACATATTAGCAAGGAAATACATACTTACCCATGCATACATATACTATATGGACTTGTTGTTTAGACGCAGGTGTCTCGAAGACCCAAATGAAGGCCTAAGAGATGCCTAGGAGATTCATAAACTACTCTAGCCCTAACATTAACATAACGTAAACAAAACATACTACTATACTACGTCAGTAATCTAAAAAGTGGTTTGTTGTTTTTGAAGATATTCACAATTCCCTTTTTCTCACTTAGAAGACGATAAGTCAAATCATTTCAAGCAATACAAATATACATATATTGTACATAAACACATTCCTTGTAAGATAATCTGTTTTTATTTTATAAAGTTATTAATGTTAATAAAAATAAATATATATGTCATGCGCCTTCAAAGTATAAAGTCTAAGCGGGCCCGACTAGAGAAGACGAATTAATCGTACCATGTCCATGCCTTCAGGATTTTATATTTAATTCCCGTATTAATTGAAAATATAAGTTGCCACAATTATTTGTTACTTCTAACAGGGTTTGCTAAAATCGCTCAATGAATGTGTTAGTTTTATCTCAATAAGAAATTAACATATTTGTTATAAAGGGATTTTTAATAAGAGCTTTCAAAAAATGTCGAAGACAGCGAAATTAAAAAAACGATCATTTTATCGCAGAGTTAAGCACAGCAAACAAATTGTTGAAATTTATTTCGAAAATCCGTTCCCAATAAATCCAGTAGTACAGTGCTGCCATAATTTGTTCAGCAAAACAAGCTAGATTGTCCAAAAAAACAAAGCTAAAATAAGCTAAATCCAAGGCAAAATAAGCTTTAAAAAAATCGGTTTATAAAAACAATACATATTTTCTTGGTTAAATTTAAGGAAATATATGTTTTAATATTTTCATGTTTAATCTAAGTTCTTATTTCATAATTTATAAAAATAATATGGGATTCTTGTAAAAATAATAATAGATAATTCACATAAAATTCAAGTTAAAGTTAAAAATGTTTAATTCTGTACTTGCTTTATGAGTTCATGTAAACTCTCTGCGTCTGGATAATAAAAGCGGTTGCTTACTGACACTTTGTTTAAACACTTTAGACATTTCTTAAAGCTTATAAAAGAAATAGATGATGCTCAAGCCTCGAGGTGATTTTAATAGATTTTATTATCGAAAGTCGCTTATCGCTACTTATATTCATGATTTTGAGCCGCAGCCCGCTGTTTTCGAATTTTTTCCGCACTGGCATTAAAAAAAAAAACAGATCTGGCGGGAAAAAAATGACAGTACTGCAAGAGTATAACAATTTTACGATCAGCATTATCGAACAACTGTGTCGACTATGTACTATATACATATATGTATCGATATTGTGGCAGTTTGCCGCACTGATTGAAAAGAAAGCGAGCCGTTGTTGTTGCATTTTTGTTTAACAATTTTTCGCCTTTGTGTTTTATTTTTAATCAATTTTCTCAGCCATTGCAAAGCTCATGGCCGTGACGTCACAATTCTAGAGAATTTATTTTGCTTTTGTCAGCTCGTCGCCGCACACACATGGCAGTAAATACTTATAGTATATAGTATATGTATATACATATGTACATATGCGAGTATTTGTATATACTTATGTATATACATATTTTCCAATTTTTCAATAACATTTGGCGCTCTCCGTGACGAGGCCGGCGCGCCATTTGTTTTAGCATTTGAAATCAGTTTTGAAAACAGGCAGAAGGCATTAAAAATATACGCACACATATACAGACATACTTACTACATATTTACATATGTACATACATAGACATACAAACAGATTCAATTTAATTTAAATTTAGAAAAATGTGGCCAAAAAGAAGATACACTTGGCGGGCGTGGCCAGTTCGAAGCGTATGTAAAAGAAATGAATTTAAATTTCATTGCCTTTAAAAATTAAAAAAAAAAGAAAAACAACAAAATCGAGGCCGTGCCCTCAAATAAACAAATCTTCCCCAATTAAGATATTCCATCGTTAAGTCTATATTTGAATTTATGGGTAAAATAAAATTTTAGGTACCGTGCTTAGGTCAGCACCGCATGTGGAGTCCTTGAGGCATCCCTAAAAACCAGACGCATCACATCAATAGCCAAACTTAATAGTAGATCTTGTGTTTAATACTCTACTATATTTAGATTAATATACAATGTGTTTTACATATAAAAACTGACTCACGGAAGCACCCGATCCTTAAAACATAGAGGCATTTATAAACGCTAAACATAACAAAAGTATTAATAGCGGAATAAAACAAACAATTTCCATAAAATACTATTTTATTATAAAAGCAAACGGCTGATAAAAGTAAAAACCCCAATTCCCAAGGTTCGTGTCAAAGTTCATAGCCGCTTTAACATGAGAAATCGATCACAAATGTAATACCAATAAACTATTTGTATTGTTCACTTACCATCTTCCACAATGGAAGTATCTTGTTATATTATTATACTTTTTTTTCATTTCAAGACATAGTTTTTATATTCTTCCTCCCATCGTATACCATATTCTAGGTAAAGGTGAAAAGAGTATACCACAAATGTATGTAAATATTAAGACAAAGCTTTGCTTGATATTAGGTGATCTTTGCGTTCCTCACAAGCAAATTGGAGTCGGAGTTTATTTAACGTTTATCTGAAATTGTTGTTTTATTTATATAATTGGAAAAGAGCCATCAGTTCGAAATATATATTATATTAATAGAAATAAAAACACAAGGAGGATTACGATTTTTTTCAAATAAACAATAGTTCATTAAAATAAAATTAATAACAGAAAACAACTGCCCCGCTTTCTTCCCTTTTTAGAGAAAGCTCTATGTATTGACGGAACATATGTTTATATATATTTATCTTTCCAGACCCACCACCCACCTTACTAGCCTAGCCTAGACCACTGCCTGAATTCGGCACTACCAGTACTACCAGAAACCGGCCAATCAAAAGAATAAGCAGAATGTCTCACTCCGTGACCATAACACGCACCACAACCAGCACTACCAACACCTCCTATATAGTGCTGAATACAGGCTATCTAAAGTCCTTCCCCGGCATTTTGAAGCTCTTCGAGCTGGTAAGTAACATCGGCATTTACATATAATTATTGAAATGTTTAAAATTGTTGTCAATCGACAGCTCGTGGGTGCCGCCATTGTTGGACTGATGGCCTACAATTTTAGAGACTACTACCATACGTTCAGGGGCCAACAGGACTTGTTCCACTACCTGATGGCCACCACTTTCATGATAGGGACATTTTGTTTATTACTCTCCTGCCTGACATCGCTGAGCACGGGCGGCATTATTGCCAAAACCATATATGTAAGTATTTGCCACGGAATGGCATTTTATAAAATTTTTTTAGTAAAAATAGAATAGTTTCTAACTCCCTCTTTTTTGTTATCTTTTTAAGGAACTGATCTATCATAGCATTGCGGCCATTCTATTACTAGCCTCCTCGACATGCCTGCTGATCGAGTTAAGGAATCGAAAGCACGATGGCTACATGGCAGCGGGTATTCTTGGATTGGTTAATTGTATTCTATACTTCATAAGTGCCTTCTTGGCACATCGATCCTACCGTGGCATTTAAGCCGCAGATCCATTCGAAGGAACAAACAGAGTTGCCAGCATTTCGCACAATGAATTTATTTTTTTGGAGCGTCAATATTTCAAAGAATACAAAATCAATTTATTATTTAATGTGAATGTTCGTTGTAAGGCATAGAGCTTAATTCTGAAATCAATTATATTTTTGCTAAAAACTTTTTTTTTGTAAATGTGTAACGTATAAAATTTGTTTGTCTATGTGGAATTATCTTTATATATATATATATATATATATATATAACATCTCGCTCTTTGTATTCGAATAAACGTGTCTGAATGTTTTTCTACAAATGTGTCTATGTCTTGACTTTGATTACAGCTCCCGATCGGTTATATTGAAGTAGCTGTAGCAAGCTAGGGTTAGGAAGTATAAAGCGCACATAGATGTATTCAGCGCTATGAAGAATATGAAATAGAAAGTATACTCGTTACATCGAACCTCTGCAAAGAGGGGTCGTTCCGAGAGCACCGTTGTGGAGGCAAACAGCGCAAGAGCTAGTGCGGCGCCCACAAACATCATCTTAAAAAGAAAGAAATATATTTGGGATCAGCATTCAATTAAAAGGAAACCTTGCTTTCAGTTCAACAATATTAATTTTAGTGGCAATATTTCAAGAGACAACGTCTGCTCTCATAAGAAAATGTATGCTAGATTTGGAATGGAAAATATATTTAATTTTTCTTAATTTTAGAAATCAAAATTTATATTCTTTACATGCATGCCACAATTTCGTAAATTTTTACAAAATTTCAAATATATCTATGCGCGTTACAATAACAATTCTATATTAAAATATATTATTGGAAGTTTATAAAATTAAAATCTTTGGTTAATTCCAATTTTGAGGTCGAATTAAAAAAAATATTACATGCTTTTAAACTGTAACAGTATATGGCTTTAGATTTGTTGTACTCAACTTTTACGAGTAAATATCCTTAAAATGCCATTTATTCTTCATAATATAATTCAACAAACTTTACATACAAGTACATACTTGTATCTCCCTATTAATGCCATGAATATAATGTTACGTAATTCAGTCGAAATCAATGACTCATCGAATTCAAAAATAAGGTTTCTCCTTAGGATTTACCTTTGCAGCCATTTTACAGCTAGGATAAATATGTGGGAAGATTCTTTTTCGACTCACCAGGCTGGCTATTATCAATTTAATTTCCATGTTGCTCACATATTTGGCTCTTACAAGAAGCATGACGGCAAAAGAATAGAACAAGGTAAAGCCAACAGTCCACCTCATGTAGGTGAGTTCGAGAAAGCGAGGATAGGGGCCTTCGATATTATCCACAATGTAGCTCTTGCAGGTGCCGACCGCCTCGTCATCACCATCGTCAACTGGTTCAAAGGCCGGAAGGTTAAAAAGCGGATTCACTATAATATGTTCAATTTTAGAGAGCATATTCAGTGCACCGAAGCAGGCAATCTAAAAAATGTTGAAAAATATCCAATTAGACCTTAAATGTTGGGGGATGTTGGGGAAATTTACAAAAGCACAGAGCGCCATAAAACCGGTGCTAAAGCCAAGTCCCTTGCACATTTTTATATTTTCGCTCAAAACACTTCAAACGACAGCTTACGACTGGGCTTTGGTTGATCGCAATATGCTATAAAATCAAAACATGTGAATCAGATTGGCAGAAGAAATGCAAGCCAGCTGTCTCGACTCCAATTTCGTGTTTTGTTGTGAGGGAGGGGAGCTCGTGGTTAGGGAATTTGCATGTAAAAACATTTGGAGTTGAGTTAAGTAAATAGTTTTATTTTACAAATGGTTCTTTTTCACTTAAAATCTATGCTTTCTCAATGGACTTACCGTGAAAATGGATGACTGTGTGCATAAACTGATGAATTGGGCTTAAAACAATGCTTACTTAAAATTAATCAACTTTTTGTTGCTGGCAGCCAGCCCGGGTTAGTGGAGTATTAGTTGAGAACACATTCATATATTTAACATTCCATTTTGATGCCAACTTTAAAAATAATGTCTGTTCAATTCAAAAACAACAACTTATTTGAAAAACACTTAGATTTCTAGATAGTCACTGTATTCGTTTGTTTTAAGGGCACAATTTCATGTTGGAACTATTCTGTGCTTAGGCTTTGGCATTTTGGACAAGTGCCTGCACAAATAAAAATAATAAAAAAAAAAACAAATGATAAACCTAGAAGCTATAAAAACATACATACAACCCAGCGGTATGTAGTGGTCAACTTAAAATATGCTTAAAGACTTTAATTTGGAATTGTCGCAAAAGTTGATTGCGTTACAATACGCCAAATATAATAAACGTTGTACTATAACTCATATATGATAACCATCCACCGACTACTGACTAAACTTAATGCCAATGTTGTTAACACGAGTTTTCATGTGCTGCAGCACATCCTGCGAGAACTCCTCGATAGTTGTGAAGCGGCTCTTCTGAAAGCTGAATATGTCGGCTAGAAATGAGAGCAACTGCTCTCGAAAATAATGACAAATGTCGCGCAGATTCTCATTGGGCCCGAAAAAGCCCCAAGCCATCAAAGGTGATATCTGCTCAGATATGACATAGAAGTGGGCCATGAAGCCATTGGGAAACTTAAGCATACGCTTTTTGGCCTTCAGCACGGACCAAACAGCGGTGGTGAGTGCCTGAAAATAAAAAAAAAAGTGGCGTAAGTAATGACTAACTTGATTTATCAAAAGTTAACTTACCGTCTCTTTAAAACCATTGGATAGCCAACGATTTTGCACCACAGCTGTAACGCTCGCTGGGGGCGCATCCAAATCCCGGAACGAGTCAAGTATTATAAAATCTAGGCATATATCGTAAAATGTCATAGCTTTCACATTGCGTGCCTCCAACTCCACCTGGATTAACGGCCAATTGCTGGGATCGTGCAGATAGTTTATCATATCCTCATACCCAACGAGAAACTCTTTTGTGTCTTTGTCGCCAAGACATAACAAATCTGTCAATATTTGTCGGCCGGCATCGCAAATCCATTGACCCACAGCCGGGTCCTATAAATTAAAAAACGTTGAATGACCAGCAAAAACAAAGAAAGCAGCTGAACCCACCTTAAATAGATACTGAAAGGCCAGACGCACACAGTGGAGCTTTGCCAAGTATTCGGTATCGCTGCCGCAATGCATTAGCTCAGAGCGTATGGTGCGGCAGGGTACGGTGCACTCGTCGTGGTGTTTCAAAGCTGTTTGAAACAACGGGTACTCCTCATATGACGCCTCAATAAACCCTTCAAATTCGCGCAGATCAGCGACCTGATCCAGCGCCGAGGCGAAACTTTCAGCGGAATCGAAATTGGGATCAGAGCCAGCGCGGCTAAGCACACTGCCTGATTTGCGTGAATGTCGATCCTCGTCAGCATTGCTGCCATCATCGTTGGCCGCAAGGCCATCCTCTTCAGCCTCATCAATGGAATGTTCCTCGCGAAACAGCACTGAGCGTTGATCCAAAAACAGTAGCTCACTCTGCTCCTGCAGGGTATAGGACATTTCGAGTAAATTTTGTATTTCACGACAGAATTCCGAGTCCTCGGCTGTGGTAAGTGCGGCGGGCACACCGCCCGGAGAATAGTGCGCAGCCAGCGCATCTTCCCAAAAATTAATGACAGTATCTAGCGCCTCCATACCCATCACACCCAACTGTTGTGCAGTCAACTGTGTGACCACATCTCCCGCTCCCGTATGGCCCTGTGCATTGGACACAAGCGTTCCAGCACCAATGGAACCCGATGCCATTGACAGGCGATCCGAGTAGGCCAGTGTGGAGCCTACGGGACTGCCAGAGCGTGCCGATGCCTTGGAGCCCGCAATCGAGATGAGATCGTTGGGACTTCGCATACTATTCCGTGTACGTCGGCCTGTGTACTTCCGTGGTCGACGTGGTGGACGAGGAGGCTTCCGGCGACGAAGAAATCGCGACAGTACGCTCATCAGTGCGACGCCAGCAGTCAGCGAGAAGAGTACAACCTGCATGACCAATTTATTAATATAAATTGATAGAAAAACATCGATAGCTTACCTTTGTTGTGGTGGATACGCGGAACGGCATTATGCTGCCACTTGACCAGGATGCAGGCAGCAAACGTTGCATAACTTACGTCTAGCTCTATATCCTAGTGTATCGCTTGTGCTTTGTGATTTGTGCGAGCGTTTTTGTAGCCAACTCCGCGCTAAGCTTTGAGGTTAGGCACCAGCACTCGCCCAATAGTTACGCGGGAAATACTGTGGTTGCTTGCACATTGGCGGTGGCAGCTTTCATAAATGAAAAGCGTGATCGTTTTCGAAATGCAGCTCTTCCTCTACTTTACCATCAAATGCAAATTAATTTTATTGTGCGTGCTCGGATCAACGACCGTTAGTTGCAGCTTATACCGTTTTTGATTTGTGTAAACAGCACCTCCGCTTAGCACAAGAACTTGCCGTCTGTAACATCCACTTGTAAGGCGGGCGAGTGCTAACGGAGACGACACAAAAATACATGCAATTGTTTAGAAAAACAATTGTCAGATTGTCAATGGCAAAGCAAACCAAAAAACTTTCACTTTCTAGGCCGAAAACAACAATTGCATCACAGTTTGATTTTTGGGCTCTCTAAAATATCAGCGGCAACACATGCGAAGTTGTCCGTGTCAGTGTTGCCCACTGAGTTGGGTCAGTCGGGTCCGAACTAGTTTCACTAAAAAATTATATACTGAACTAAATTTTTGGGTTTATTTCGTTAAGTTCTTCAAGTAAGTGATTTATCATTCAACAACATTTTTAAGTTGATAAATATCTCAATGATGAGTATTTCGGAAGAAGAAAGAATGCTTTAATACGGTGGCACTCCAAAGATATGCAATCTAAGCCCGGGTATTCAACTAAACTAGGTCTTTCGCTTTAGCTCTTTTATTTTGTGAACAAAATTGATCGACAGGTTGAATTAATAGTAAAAAATAAATTGTGTATAATAAAAATAAAATTAATAATAGGAAACTTCTTTTTAAATGAAAACATTAAAATATAGGCACGTACATGGGCCTCCTTAAAATTCTTTATTGTAATATCATTATGTTGCTATACAGAATGTATTTTTAAATATAAATAAAAGCTTTTCTGGTTAAAGCAAAATTAAAAACCTATAATTGATTTAACTGGTGACTAAACTAGAGAAAGCGCTTATGTATGCAATGGAACTAAAATAACGATAAGTTCGTTCCATGAAATGGGAACCATTGCCCACCTTCTTTGACAGTACGGTAAGCTGTTCGCAGCTGTGCGACGTTGCCACTCTGTTGGTCAGCTGTGAATAAATGAGTGTAGTTGTCGCTGTGACGTCACGGCCAACAAAACAAACCGGCAAGAACCAGCACAAGCGCAAACGCAATGCGAAAATAGCCGCGATCGCTGCGACTGCTGGTGTGGTTGTTACGTTTTTGAAATGCTCTTGCGTTATTAAATTTTTGGCATCGGTGCAAAGCTGAAAATTCATAACACTCACGCACACACACTCACAGCCATTTACTCATCATAGCTATTATTCCACGACAATACAATTTTTGCCATTGTCTTATTTGATTTTCCTGTGGCTGCAATACGCACTTATCTTATTAGACGCCAGTATACGTATAATGTCTGAAGATGCCAAGAGTAAGTAGATCACCTCTATAGCTGCAGCCCCCGATCGCACAAACACTAATTTCATTATCAATTATCTAAGATCCACGTACCAGCAACATCATACAAAACCAACTTTTTCGTCGCCAACGCAGTCTCAAGCTTGAAGCTCTGCAGAAGCAGCGTTCACTACACGGTGGCACTGTCGACGCGGACGATGATGACGCACAGTTTGACAAGGTCGGTGATGTACAGTCAAGGCCACGTAGACAGCAAACCTTAAAGTCTTCTACCTTCTCGTTCGCAGACCTACATAGTCATTATATTTACGGAGAAAGCTAAGCTGCGACATTGTCAGGATGTTGAGAAAATTATACAAGAGTTTGGCATTCAGACCACCTTGGAGATAGTCAGGTTGAATCCATTTCAGATCCAATTTTAGGAAATACTATTTTACTTTCTTCTATTTCTTTCATTCACAGTCAGAGCGAAAAATATTTGTATCTTTCTGCCAGTTTAGACACGCTGCTGCGTCTGGCCGATGAGGCCGAATTGGAAAAAATGACCACCACCGGCAGCATGCAAAAGTTCAATCATGGTTGTGTATCCGATTTTTTACAGCCCGGCATGTCTAAGGATCAAATTTTACGCTACTGTGAGACGCCTGTGCTCATCAAGGATGTGGTAAAACCACCAATTAGATCATACATACAGAAAGGCTACATAGAGGATATGTTTCCCCTGCATGATATAGTGAGTGGGCGTCACTGAGATTTTAAAAAACCTAATATTAAGTTCCAAACTCTTTCAGCTATATTTAGAGAAATTTAATGTGAATCTCAAGCGTGTTAGACTGCCCATTGAGGAGATACGAAACTATTTTGGCTCTAGCATTGGCATGTATTTTGGCTTTCTAGAGTTCTACACTCAGGCGCTGGTATTTCCAGCCATTTTTGGCACTCTGCAATATTTCTTTGACTTCAATCTCTCGCTTGTATGCAGCTTTTATGTCATCTGGACCACAGTGGGTAATAAAATGATTATTCTAGAGTTTTATTTAAAGCTGTATTTTACAGATTTTTCTTGAGCTTTGGAAGCGTAAGTGCGCCGGATATTCGTATCGCTGGGGCACTATAGAAATGAGCAGTTTGGATAAGCCACGCTCGGCGTACAAAGGAAAACTAAAGCCGGATCCCATTACTGGCAAAATGACTCTCCATTATCCCATGCGCTACACTTACCTGCAAATGTATTGTATTTCGTATCCAGTGGTTTTGGTTTGTGTTGTGGCCGCCGCCTGGTTTGCGCTCTATCAGTTCCAAATCGAAGCTGAGGTGCTGGCCGACTTTGGACCCGAATCCTGGCTGCTTTATGTGCCGGTCATAGTACAATCAGTGCTCATTTCCATTTTCTCGTGGGCCTATGAGAAGCTTGCAACATTCCTCACCAATCAAGAGAATCATCGCACGCGCTCTCAATACGATAGACATCGTGTGAATAAGCTGATGATTTTCGAGATTGTGAACAATTTCTTCTCACAATTTTATATTGCCTTCGTCCTCCAGGATCTTAAGCAATTGAAATATCAATTGATGATGCAACTGCTCATCTTCCAGTTGCTGTGCATTGCGCAAGAGATCGGCATACCATTAATGGCTGTGCTACGTCAGAAGTATGCGAAGTATCGTCTCAAGGAGGTGGAGCAGGAAAAGATCAACACCATCACAAATTTGGCGCGCTACGAGCAATGCTTTTACGAATCAGGCCTCGATCAATATCAGTCCACTTATGAGGATTATCTACAAATGTGCATACAGTTTGGCTATGTTGTGCTATTTGCGGCAGTGGCTCCTTTTGCTGCTTTGGGTGCGCTCATTAACAATGTATTTGCAGCCCACATTGATATGTTTAAGGTGGGAAGTCACTGATTAATAGGAGTGTGCTTTCTCAAACTCTTCCTTCTTTCATTTTAGATTTCCAACATCTTCAAGCGCCCTTTTGCGCGTCGGACCAAGAACATTGGCGCTTGGCAACTGGCCTTTGAACTCCTATCGGTCATGTCCTTGCTGAGCAACTGTGGTCTGCTCTTCTTGCAGCCGAATGTCAAGTGAGTGAAATAAATATTTTATATCTATATATATATATACTTTATTTGATTTATTTATCCTGATCTTCGTGCAGACAATTCTTCGCCCACTGGCTGCCAAGCATACCGGATCTGTCCTTCATTATATTCGAACATTTGCTTCTGGGCCTCAAGTTCATCATCCACAAGGTTATACACGAAAGGCCGCGTTGGGTGCGCATAGGGTTGCTAAAGGCTGACTTCGAGACCAGTCAGGCTCTCAAGTAAGTTACAAATTATATAAAGGATTCAAACTTTTTTAGATTTATTTAATTTGAATGCTAAAAGTTGCTTATAATTTATGTTTAAAGTCCCTTTTTGGGATAACTATTTTGACACAATCCATCCATATTAGATAATCGCTCGATTTCTACTATATTTGTCTTTCTTAAACATTACAGAAAATTCAAGGCAGCTAACAAAATGGCTTAAAAATGGAACTACAATCGAGTCTGGCGATAATTGGTGCTAAAACATAAATACTTAATTATTAAGAGTGCAATGAACTAATGAATTAATTTTTATTATGTAATGTTCACTAAAAGAGACCTATAAATACATACGTACATATATAAAATTATTAATATGTATGAAATCAGTCAAATGCTATTCATTAAACTAATTTGCTTAAGAGTGTCTCTTTTTATGAAAATCAGAATAGTGTGTATTTTTTAGTGAGGCCTGGAACCAAAACAAAAATGGAATCTCTTTTTTTTACAGCAATAATTAAAATTATACGATGAACAACCTTAGTGTAGGAGGAGAAAAATAAAATAAAATAAATCTTTCTTGACTAGCGAAAGCCCTTATAATGTTTAAAGGCCAGAAATGCATCGAAGGCATGAAGCAGACCCGCCGCATAGCCCATGTACTGAAAATGAAGAAATTATTGCGGACAAAAGAATTTTGTAGACTGCTCTACTCTACTCACATATGTGGCCGTCATGGCCGGATAGGCGAGAAAGCCGGGACGGACCAGAAACTGCGGATGCAACCAAACAACACAGGCAAATCCCATATAGCTAGCCGAGCTGAAATACATGCAGCAGGCAATGGCATTAAATAGCGTTTCCTGGAAATTTGCAAAAACGTCAAATGGGTGTTAAAAGAAAAAATCCCAATGGCATATACCCACAAATAATGATTGGCGTATCAGACCGTACGATTTCTCCGAGAAGCAGTAACAAACAAGCAAAATGGCTGTTGTGGTAAAACAATAGGCTGTCGTCGTCAGAAAGCTGGTCAGTGCCTGGCCAATCGAATCTGCGTACGGCACACCACAACGGATTAGCAGACCCTCACATAATGTGGCCAATCCCAGCTGCAAAAGTTTCAGCAATCCGCCACGGGACAGCACAAAGCCAAAGTTGATGCACGTACAGACGCGACAGCAGCAAATCTTAATACCCAGCTGTTGACTCATGCCACGCATACCGAAGGAAGCCATAACTTCTGGAACTCTAGACTACCGAACTACCGATTGCTTGGTCTTGCCGTTGCGTACTAACATCTGACAGCCTGGCTGCAATTGGATCTTTCGGCAGCGACATCGGAAGACAAGACATCGTCTATAAATAGACAAGCGCTCCTACCCCAAGCAGAGCACGAAAAGTATGGGCTTCCTATTGGTAAACAAACTGAAGAAGTACAGTCGAAACTCATTATTATAAACACATACTTCGGGAGCAGCTTCATTTATATAAACAGGGGAAAGATTAAATATAAAAATAAAAACAAACAGCAAATCAGACTTAAGTCTGAGTCAAGCTGAGATAGAGCCAATTCCCATTAAATGCTTTCAGACCTAAAACGTTTTGAGCAATTAGTAAAACCGCAGGGTGCTCTAGTGGCTTTGTTTTAATGACCTGTTCCCGAAGAGTCAAGGGTTAAATCAACATATGTATCAGGTGGAATAGCACCAAGAAGACCTAATGTTATAGGTGCATATTTGCATAACAATTACTGAAAATTAAACAGTCTTATCCATATGCAGGTCACGTTTTTTACAAATTATAAATGCCTCACATTACTCGTATACATATATATAATATACGTATATAGCTCTCATACGATGTAAAAATTATGATTATGGCATACAAACCTTAAAGCCATTTTTCCTCCGAATTTCCCAAATCCGTTCAAATTTCCGATTCCTAGATTTTAAAGTATGACAAGGACAACTTGTTAGAAACTAGAACCTAGATTAATCGTTACATATCATGGAAAAGGCCAACTTTTGTTTCCTACAGGTTGAATTTTTCCATTTTATAAAACTGCACTCAAGAAAGCGTCGGAGCTGTAAAATATTCACATAAATACGTATGTAAGTATTTAAACGAACATTTTAATATAAAGAATCCGCGAGTTTTCTTTGTTTACGGATCGCGTCCATATATATTATGTGGATGTGTTTAGTGGACTTTGCTATTATTGTCACAGATGCTCAGACACTTAGTCATTAATGCTCCGGGCACACACATGCACCCATTTCCATAGAATCAAATAAAATTCAAAATTCTCACCATGTGCCTGCCTTACTTCAGCAAATTGTTCGGCCACTCAAACCGACGGGCCACCAGAGTTGAGAGCAGTCTCATTATGACGCCACGTCCCACCGCTAGTATGGAGACTATAACGATGGCTCAGTCGCGACAGTCACTTAACACGACTGGGATAACGCTCATTAAGGTGGAGACTCCAGTGATGAGCAGCGCAGCGCCATCCTTGATTATGGTGGAGAATGCGACCACCACCAGCATGGGCGGAATTAGTGAAGCCACTGACACCGCCACCAGCTTGAACTCCAACTGCACATCAGCCCAGGTCAGCCTTCAGTCCACTAGCAGCGGGCATGAGCAGTCGACGACACAGTCCCAGGGTGGAGCTCAAACATCCTGGTGGAATTACTTTGGCATGAATAAGCACAAGAAGACCAGTATTGAGTCGCTCTAAACTCTTATAGAAAGAAAAAGTGCGGCAATGGTGAGAAGAGCAGCAGCCACTAGCAATTTAGAATTTTTCACATAACTTTTAAAAAACATTTTTGAAAATAGAAACCAGCTAACATCATAAACTTTTGGTTTTTTCTTGACAAGATTGGTGGGTCAATGGGAGAGAATTAATGTCTATAAAAATTCGTACTTTATTCCAGCAATATATGTACATATTTTGCAGGGTTTTTTAGTTATACAATTATTTTTCAGTGCTTCTTACCCGAGAAAAGCTTGACAAGAAATTAAAAAAAAAAGAGAGACTATTTCAAATTTTTTATAATCTAACAAATAAAACAAGTTATACGTAAAAATTCATACGCATTTTTTATCGTTTTATTTCCCTCCGAAAACTGTTAGTTTGATTCTATATAACAAACAGTATAAGCTATTACCCCTGTTTTTATTTGTTCACTTTTTAAATTCAACGGATTTTATTTTTTAATCAAAATTAGTTGCAGGAATACCACAGCTAATCCGGATAATACGTTGTGTGGAGTATACAGGATGCGCCATCTTTTATGTCGGTATGTAAACACTGAATATCTTTGAAAATAAACAGCCGATTTTCCAGTATGAGATATTTTTATTTAATTTGGTTCTGTACAATTTCTTGAACTATGGTTTTCAACACTGGTCTACTCAAGTCAATCGGTTCACTAATGACAAAGCCATTCAATATCTACACACCGACATAAAAGATGGCGCACCCTGTATGTATGCATATAGTATAATATAGTATTTACATATACTTATTCAAGATGATTTAGTTTACTTATTGCATCTACATACATAAATCTGTTTTTACAGGTATCATATAGCTGTTAGAGCTGTGACTTGCTACATCGATACACTTCTGGCTAAATAATCGATAAGTAGATATTGCTCAGCTCTATACCGAACGTTGTCACGTTGCGGCAGACCGGCGTGTTTTTGATTTGTTTTTCTTTTCCTTACCGCGTGCGTTTTGCGCTGGGAAAAAGTGAATTTAAAACAAAGATTTTATTCAACATGACCATAAAGCTGGACAAGAAGGCACAAAAACGCGAGATGCCACAAAATATAGCCAAAGGTGGCAAGAAGCAGAAAATAAATACGACGGTCGCTACAGGAGTTAAACATGCGGTAAATGGTGATACGCCCGTGCCTGCCAAGAAACAGAAATTTAATAAAAAGCAGTCAAAAACCGAAGAAGACGGCAATAATTCTAAATCTGAGCCCGCCACCGAGCCTGTGGTGGAACCCAGCAAAAACAAGAAGGAAAAGATCCATTCAAATAATGCGGTCAATGGCGATGTGCCCGTGCCTGCCAAGAAACAAAAATTGAATAAAAAACAGCCAGAAACCGATAAAGGCAGTAATAATGCTGAATCTGCAGACGAGTCTGGGGTGGTACTCAGCAAAAGCAAGAAGGAAACAGCCAAAATTGTTGCCAATGGTGATGTTGCGGTGCCTGTCAAGAAACAAAAATTAAATAAAAAGCACTTAAAAACCGCTGAAGGCGACAATAATATTAAAGCTGAGCCTGGAGTCGAATCTAAATCGTTGACAGCCAACTTGAACAAAAACGTTTTTGGCATCTTCAAGAAGCTTCACAACAAACAGCATAGCCAGAAACATATCAACGAGTTGATCAGTTTGCTGAAATCCGAAATGGACGTAGACAAGGTGAGTGCGAGCAGCCACAAAATCAGATTTTTTTTATTGTTCTTATTTTTTGCAGCGCAATGCAACCTGCGCATATACGCTAAAACGTTTGGTGCGCGGCACCGGCGCCGATGATAAACAGGTCGTGGCAATCAATGCGAGCTGCATAAATGCTATTCTGCGCACAGTGCCCGATATTGATCTGCTCGAGCTGCTAAAGAATATGAAGCGGGATTTGCCAGTGGCTGCACAACTGAAGAAAAAGGAGGAATCTTTGGCTGCTGTGGGTCAGTTGATAACGGTCTATAGCATTATGCAGACGCAGCATTTTGAAAATGCTACGCCAGAGCTACTTGCAGAAATCTACCAGATCCTCATAGGTCAGCTTAAGAGTCGTGAGTATTTGAGCAGCATGTCGGCAAGTTTCATAGCAGATTCGTTTAAAAAGGTACAATGCAAAACACATACATATATACATTATACTTTTGATTAATCGCTGGTTGTGTATTTTAGGTAAATGCAAAAACCTTTAAAGGGCATGTCTGGCCATTATTAGAGTCAACGCTGTCGAAGGCTTCTAGCGCAAAGCAGTTGCATGCATGCAATTTGCTGCTCGCCGTGCATAACAACTATCCAAAGGTGCTGGCGCGTTCTCAGCTGCAAACCATGCTTTGTGGCAATCGGTCAGAGCCGCAATATGCAGAACTCTTTGCCTTGTATTTGAATAGTACTTCCATAAGTCAAACTGAAGGCGCAGAGGAGCGTTTAGCCAAATTTCTGGTGGCCGATAGCAAGTTGCTGGCCGCTTGGCAGCAATTTGTAGATGCAACGCCACTGAAACACAATACTGCCAAAATTTGCGTCATTAAAGTTATCAGCTATGTGCTGCTCAACTATCAGGAGAGTACTGAGAAGGATGAACAACTACTGGCGTTGTTTAGCATACCCTTTGTAGAGTTTTTGATGGCCGAGCTCCTGGTGGCCAAACAGAAAAACAAATCAGCGAAACCTTCTCAGTTGCAGTTGCGCTCCACATGTCGCATCTTCGAGGCGTCTCTGCTTCTGAGCTTTGAGAAAGTGCTCAAAAAAGATGCCATCAAGCTGGGCTTATTAAACCGACTCCTGCAGGTAAAGCTGCAGTTGGACACAATAATGCACACGCCGCGCTTCACACAACAGTTGCTAAATCATCTGGAGGTGCCGAGCCTGAAGCACATATATAATTTGTACAAAGAAAAACTTATTTGTCCCGACGAGGAATCGACAACCAAGCCCATGCGAGAGTATTGTCTCAATCAAATGCAGTTTATAATGCAGCACATCAAGTTCGAATCTAAGGAGGACAACAAATGGCGCAAAGAACAGCTTAAGTTCTTAATGTTTGCGGGCCTCTTTCATCTGGATGAAAAGCAGCAGCCTTGCGAACCGAAGGCAGCCGCTGCGTTCAGCAAGCAAACGGCAGCTCGTTGCGAGGAGGTGTTCTTTTCATGCATACTCCACAAGTGCAATGACATGAAGTCATTGTGCAAAGTATTGCGCACTCATGTAAAAACGCTGGACAACCAGCTAAAGGTTGAGGGGACTGAGCAAATGTTGCGCGAGCCACGCAGTGAGGAGGCGCAAAGCGCCTGGTCGCATGTCCAGCAGACCCTGCTGGCAACCACTAAAGAGGACGATACACTGGACTTGGCCTACGATGCATTAATTCTGTTTTTGGGTTTGGCGCTCTGTACACGTAACAATATTCCTGTTGCCCTATTGTCCGATTTCGTCATTTGCAAGCAACGAGCTCACGACGAACTCTCTGGCAAGCCCAACGCAAATCCGGTAAGTAAGACACCAATCTTATCCTGAGCGCTTAAATTAATTTGTCGTTTTTCACCTTTGCAGGAGGATCCGTCGTGGAAGGAGGTTCTAACGGATTCGTTGCTGCAGCTGTTACTGCAAACTGGCCACTTCTGGCGTGACTTTGTGAATGCTCTTTTTACGACAATGGTGCCGTATTTGGAGAAAGATAACTTGGGGCAGATGTTGCAGATATTGGATATGAGCAAGAATCCTCTGAGAGGGGAAGGGGAAGATGAAGCAGACAGTGAGCTGGAAGATGGGCAGGACGACGATGATGATGGACACAGCAGCAACAGTGAGTCGGGTTCAGATAGCGAAGAAGAGGAAGACGATAACGATGATGAGGAAATGGATGACGAAGATACACGTCTCGCACAAATACGGGAAAATGTGCGTGCGGCGCTGGTAGATGATGGTGATGATGCCAGCTCCGTGGATTGGAACGATGTGGACGATGAGCAGGGCGACCGTTTGAATGCTGCACTGGAGCGTGCTTTTGTAGCCTTCAAACCAAATTCAGGGAAATCGAAGAAGCAGCTTCCAACGAAATCTGAGCGCATTAGCAGCACCGCACTGTTACACTTTCGCATACGCGTCCTTGACCTTGTTGAGCTGTTTGTAGTTAAGAAGCCGCAAATGGATGTGATTCTCGATGCCCTCTGTAGTGTCTATCAGGTCCACAAGCTGACAAATGCAGACAAAAAGTTAAAGCCGTTGCACGAGGCGAGCACCAAACTGTTGCGAAAACTGCTCACACAGAACATTGTTCAGCAGCCAAAGAAAAAAGCAAACAAACAGGCCCTTATAGATTGCATTGAACATTTTATGGCGCCTTCCGAAGAGCAGCAGCTAACCAATTCTGGAGCACAGCCGGTCAAGCCCTCAGCTGACACGACGCTGTGGCGCAATAAGTGCGTCGCCTATCTGGTGGCACAATACGAGGGCGGAAGCGATGACAAGAACATCTGGTCGCTGCTCGACGATTATTTACGCGACTGGTTGGCCAAACGTAACAGCGCCCACTCACTCGGTAGCTACGAAGCGTTGCTACAAACCCAATGGCCAGGCAGGGCAAAGCTTGCTGCTACTTTGGCAGAACACCTCCAACTGGAGCGGACCCGCGCTTTCCGGCGCGTTCAAATACTTAGCGTGCTCGTCAAGCAGTCTCGACAAATTCAGGCAGCTTTGGCCGGAAACGAGCAAATTGCAAGGCAGTTTAAGCGCAGCATTCAAGACTTTGCAGAGCAGGTTTTGGCCTCCGAGAAGGACAAAGTAGCGCCCAAGGAACGCCAGCTTTTGGCCAAGCTTCTTGGCCAGCAAAGCGGCAAAGAGTTGGCGGCGTTGCAACAACGCTTGCAAGGCAGCAAAATTAAACAGAAGGAGGAATCAGTTGAAGCCTAAATCCTGTATATATATAATGCATACTATTTGATGAACTGGCTACATTATTTTTGCTTACAATATTCATAAGTTGTTTATTTTAATACAAAATAAAAAATACCCAAGTAAAAATATAAGTTCTGTATAGAAAACTTAATTCGTTTGATTAACAGCTCTTTTGTCTAATTCAGGACAGTTCCAATTTCTGAATTCGTCCACGTCGAAATGATATAAAGAGGAAGGTCGAACTCGGAATTCTCCGACTCTGCAAGCTTTGGAATTGCGCGAAAGTTACAAAATACGGTAGCAAAAAATTTGGAGGAAAAAGTAATCATGCATAATTCCCAGCGCGTAGGAGAGTCTTCATACCAAGTTCATTCAATGCTGGTTGAAATACAGGCGTTTATCCAGACAGACATACTAATATGTATGTATGTCTGGAGAGATTTATTTGGTCATGTTGATTAGAAGTATCTGTAAATAATTTATTGGGTCGCCTGTTTCATAGAATTACACAAACCTAAAATATCTTTTTTACACTTGGGGACCTACATTTGTAAGTAGGTACTGATACTATTAGAATTACATATGTATATTGTTACTAAAGAGGGTACATTTATATTTTAGGATTGAGATATATGTCTTTAGTATACTTTTCGAATGGAAATTTACGTATAATAGTTCGTTCCGGAATTTTATGAAATAGATTTACCCAATACTCATCTTTATAAAACTGTCAGCTCTCTCAAACCTTAATTTTAGGATATGAGATTATAGTGAAAATATAGAACACACCATTTGATTATACAACTATTCTGTTTAGCGCATATCAACAATGTCGAATGTTGAATTAATAAATATTTTTATTAAACTAAAATGGAATTTTTTACACTCCAAAACCGATCACTTCTCCAGTTAAACTCTCAAATCAGTTTCAGTTAACGTTGGGCAAGTAGAAATATTGTGATAACGTAGACTCTATTTGGGGCATCATCACTTGATTTTTGTTGCCGCGTTTCTTGCTCACATGGCAAATGACATGAGTCAGTATGTCCAGCATATGCTCGCTGCATAAAAGAAAGGGAGGTTGAGAGGTGTTTAAAAAAGAGGGAGAGAGAAATACAAATGGAATATAGGCTCTCACCTCTCAGCGTACTGCTCGATGGCATCGCACAGCGACTGGATGAACCAACTTCCTTCTGAGGTGTGACGCAAAGCAACAAACCCTTGAACCGTAGACATGGCCTTCAGAAGATTCTTTCGATTCTTCGGACACTTTATTGTGGCATTTATAGTGAGCTGGTGTGGATAAAAGGAGATTTAAATAATTGGTTTATCGTTAAAAAAAACACTTTAGTGGACGAACCGTTTTATTGTCCATATCATTCTGTTGGCATGCCTGTATGATCAGCACTTTCGGTTTCTCGCTTAAATTTTCGTTTGAGCAGAGCACATTCTCGATCTCGCTTATCTTTAGGGCTATGCTGTCGTGTCCATAGACGGCGCCTTCAAACCCATGCGATAAAATGCAAACTATGAGCGAGTCGCGATGACAAGAACGCGCACACGCATCACGAATGTGTTGGAGCATCTGCAGATGATTGAGATTATCGTGCGCCTCCACCATATAGCCCAAGGCAGAGAATACCTTTTTTAAGCGCTCCTTGTCCTTATCGGTGCCCAGGCGTGGTTCCAAATTTTTTGTAGGTAGCAGATTCTAGAAGGATGTAATAACAATATCGGTAATATTAGCCACACTATACACATTTATGCCTCAAAAGGTAAGGGGTTCACTAGTTGGAATTGAAATTTTGGGCAGAAATTTCGCACCGAGGATTGACCGCATCGAGCCACCCTACCACTAAAGCTATCGAAAGACCCAATTTTTATTATTTCTTAGGGTTTCTCTTTGCTTGGAATTCGAGGCTAAAACTACAAATAAAATGATATTTACTTCTAACTAAAAATTTAGTGACGTAATAAAATAAAATACTTGCATAACTGCTCATCTCACCTGCAAGCCTTCGGCGACATTGGTGTGAAAAGATTGCTGATTGATGATGAGCACGATGCCGGCATTCTTCCGGCTGATGTTAAAACCTTTTTCCCGACGGCGTACTGATAAATGCCTGCTTGCTGTATCCATTACTGTGGGTGTTGGCGATGTTGGCGTTGCTGCATCCTCTTCACATTTTGCTGGGACTTGTGACGGTAAAGTCTGGGTTGGAACTTCATTGGCGGCGGAAGTGGCATTACTATTGATGGTCTGGATGAGCAAACTGGACAGAGATTCCAAGTTGTTAAATTTAAAATACTCAATGAGTATTTGCATGTCGCTTCCCTCGGCATTGATGTCTCCTAGCTTGATGATACGTCGTGTCAGCCAATGAAGCAGAAAGATTTCTAAGTAAGCAAAGTCGTAGATGAGCAATCGATCGTTAGCACTTGCGCTCTCTGGACCCTGTTGCTGTGCATTTATTCTTGTCTGCATGTCGCTTATGCTCAACACCAGGCGGCTACTTTGAGCCAAAGTCAGCTGTTCGCAGACGATGTAGAGCGCTTTCAGCAGCGGATGAACGTGCAGCGTCACCTCATGTATATGGGGCAAGTAATGGAGGCGCAGCTCTTGCCATTGGAATCCCAGTTTGCGCAGTACTCGGCGTGCATTAATGATCGTAAGCGCTTCAATGAGATGGGCACGCCAATTCTTCTGGTTAGTGTGAGCATATTGACGCAATAAGTCGCTATTTTGGTGATGCTGTGGACCACTGATGCTATTAGCACGGGCTAGTGTCAGTAGCTTTTGTAAAACATATTCTGCATTGGAATGCTGGTCGCCATAAAGCAGAAACGCCAACGATACCTGTTTGTAGTATTGTTGTTGTTGTTCCGAAAATTTTTATTGTAAGATAAGAAAATCGAACTCACCTTCTGTGCAAAGTTTAAATCACGTTCTATGTACGGTAAGTCTTCCACATCAATTGTATCCATATGTTGAATGCCGTTTCGTGTAGACATTGTCATGTGTAAATTGGGGAGTCACCAAAATAATTTTACACACAGCTATTTCACGGAAGTGCAACAAAAATGACAAAATATAAACTTATAACGAAAGTGCACGCCGATGAGCTAATATCAATTACGGAATACTGCCTTCGTGTTAAACGCAGTTAATCGGAATCACAACTCAACACTTTACTTAGAAAAATAAAAACAAAAACATCTGCAGCAACAAGTGCTGAAGCAAGTCCTATGACGCAGGGTAAAAGTTTCATAGCAAGCAACTTAAGCAAGCACCGCTCATATGTTCTTACCAAATTAATGAATCAGTGTTACCAATTGAACTGTAAATTGTGGGAATACTGCTAGTAATTTTAGAATAGGCGTTTGTGGAATAGTTCAGAAATGGCTTTTTAACAGGGCAAGTAACAACAAGATTCTAGAGAATTAATAATATTAGAAAAAGCTTCTAAAATTTATTAACTGGCTCACATGTGTATACATACATATATGTATAATTATTTAAAAATTGCGCAATGAAGCTTGCCTTATGACTTTATAAATTTTCCATAAGCTTGAGCTTAATTGCAAATGCCTAACGGGCTTATATTAAAAAAAAAATGATTGCAGAATTTGTATGTTATATTTCAAATGTCGCGAAATTCGTTGTTATGAATACAGTGTCGTTTCATGGGATGGCAGCTTTTGTCATCCATCGTGCAACAGCTGTTCGGCCATACGGACGCACGTGTTGTATTACGCCTTATTTGGTAGTTGTTTTGTTGCGCTACGCGTCTGTTAACCGGGCATTTTCAATAATCGGCACTCGTGCATTTATTGGCAAATAGAGACGTGTGGGGCGGGCATATTAGGCTATTGAACACGGCGCAATGGGCAAAAACAAAAGGAACAATAAACAGCAGCACAAAAATAAACAGCAGGCTGCAACGTTACCATCAGCGAGTGCTACTGAGACAACAACAACAACAGCTAAGGGTAAGCATGCGACCGGCAACCACAACAATCATCATCAGCAACAAAATAGTAGCGTCAACAATAACATAAACGGAACCCGCTTTCCGACCTTCAACACCAAGCAACGTAACGAACTGAACGCTCTGGTTTTGCGTCTTCTGGAGCTCGCCCATGCAGTGCCCAGCAATGCCAACGAGGAATGGAAGCAATATGTGGATATGCAGCAATTATTGCAACGCATTATGGCCATTGAGGAGCCGTTGCAACGTCACATCTGCATGGACGCCAGCAATGCCAATGAAAAGATGCGCTTAGCCAAGGTTGCGGCCTTCAGTGATTGGGCAAAGGCGGGTGGAATACAAACGGATTGTGTGGAAATAGCCGTGTTTCCCGGCTATCAGTTGGGTCTGCGTGCCAAGCGAGACATAGCGGCCAACGAGCAGGTGCTTACTGTGCCCCGAAAGCTGATTTTTAGCGAGGAACATTTACCCGAATCGGATCGCAAATTGTTCTCCAACTTTCCGCTCTTGACGAACTTTAATTTGGCCTATGCGTTGGTCATTGAAAAGGTTCGGGGCACCCAGAGCAGTTGGCACCCGTATATTGAAGTGCTCCCAGCACGCTACAATACGGTTTTATACTTCAGCGTCGAGCAAATGCAGCGACTTCGCGGCACATCAGCCTGCACGGCTGCGTTGCGTCAGTGCCGGGTGATTGCTCGCCAATACGCTTCAATGTATAAGTGCGCCCATATCCGGAACGATTCGAGCGTAATGGCATCAATGGGTGTGCTCTTCACCCAGCATGGCCTCTGCTACGAGCTGTATCGGTGAGTATTGTAAACAAAACGTATGTAAGATTTGACTTGGGGGAGCCACAGCAGATACTAATCAGCTAGGGTATGTGCTCATTTTCGTAATTCCAATCTTTTCCGGATGGAATGCTGGTTTTCAAACTTCAAATGAAGTCGTTTTCACATTTGGCTTCAGTACAGACAAACTCTCGCAACTTGTTAGCTATTTATGGTTAGTACCAAAATAAATAGTGCTTAGCAAACAATAATGTTTAAATGTCTGCTGCAACAACGAATTGCCCAATAGGCATTGTTCCATAAAATAGAATGCGCAGCTAAGTTTGTATACCCAATTTGTATACTCTGCAACCAAACGTACACGTATGTAGCAGCCAAAAAAAAAAATAGTTATGCTCGCTCCAATAGATATAGTAATAGTAGTATAGTAATAATAGAACAACTAGTGTCGTATTTAATTGCTTACAATGTAATCTTTACATTAAACGAATTTGTGTATTCAACGCTAAGGGTAAACAAAAACTGCATAAAATATATTTAAGTTGAAAAGGTTGTAATTTAGTTGTTTCAGAAGCCAAATTTTCGATTTGTTGGTCGCGAAGCACGTCCTAGATTTTGGTCTCCGTGGATTAATTTGGAATAATTTGAAATTCGTCTACCCTCTTAGGTCATCTTAGTTCTCTATTCCTTGTAGACCTCCTTTTTGTCTTATCTTTCAATTTTAAATTAAAACGTATCGTACGAGTATATTTGAACCTATGCCGACCTCCCATATTTGTTAATATTATGATAAATAAATAAAAAAAATAAAAAAGCGAATATTTTTCTCTTTTATAAATCTTATCCAGTTAATGCTCAAATTATTGAAATCTTTGCCACAATTTTTCTACATTTTATTTTCAAGTCAAAACAAGTCAAACTTATTTACATAATACATGCGTACATGTGTATATTTGAGTGTCTGTGCTTATATATATGTATTATACATAAATATTTTGTTATGCTTTCACTGCCACATACATATACATAGTTGTCATCTAGATACTTATATATGTACTCGTATATAAGTGTAAGTATGGCCCTACCAAAATTAAAAAAAAAAATCTGCCAGCGCCTTAAGTGTACATAAATAAATAAATATGTAGTTTAAGTTGTTTTTTTTTTTTTTTTAAGTTTGTGCTTTTTTTAACCGCTCTTGTGCAGATTTTTCTACCGGTACGCCCACACCCGGCTATATGCGTCGCCCTTTTCCATTTTTTTGTTTGCCGCCAAAGAAATAATAGTAATTGCTTTTTGCACTAAAATCCTAGTACTGTTTTGGTTTCTCTTTAAAATTGATCTCTTTATAGTTATTGTCCTCTGAAACGTGTTTTTAAGTCCAATATTTCGCATATTTGTTCACCATTTGGGCCTTTGTATACTACTAGATCCGCTTGGACACTTCATCTTACATCTTTACAATTTTTCATTTTAATTTGGCAATATATCCTTTTCGTATGCTTTCAGTGGTTCTCTAAAATTAAGACATCCTTTAGGTGCATTACAGTGCAAAAGTGTCGCCTATGCTTTGAAACGAATTTAATTCGAAATTCAACTTCTCACAAAAATGGGCAACTGCCCCTACTATATCGTCGATAACGTTCATTCACGTTAGATCTGATCTATCCATAGTTATGGGGTAGAAGTGCTTAGTAGTATTCACATCTTTGAGTACAGTGTTGGGCAGCTCGTTGTTATCCAGTTGTTCATAATTTTTCCGGTATAGTTCATACTCGTAGCTTATTAAGAAATATTCTTTAGACTTTACATAAATATCGTTTGGATGTGTTGTGAACTTTTATAGCTTGTTCGCTTTTTTTTTTGTGTATTCCTATTCAATGTTTTATCAGCGATGTTTTGTTTGGTTGTTGATTTACTTCTCGAAAACATTTACGGATGCTTTCGATTTATGTTACAAAGCTGACCCACATGATTCATAGATTATTAAAAATATGACCTCAGCTCAAAATAATAATGAAAATAGAAATAATCTGTATTTTTACACCAAAAAACGGATACGTTTCTCACCCATTAAAAAATTACATTGATATTGATCATTTTTTTTTGAAAAAATCAAATGTTGATTTTAATTTTCTAATTGTTTGAAGCTAAAGTAATCTTCTCTTGAGAGAAGTCCAAGTCCTCAAAGTGCTGTTCAACTGATGATTTCACCATGAAACCGTTTAGATCTTAGTCTTAATTATAATAATTTTCGAAGCCAAGTTTCAGAAGAAATCACATTCCTTTGCATCTTTATTTTTAGTAATCTTTCCAATAAGAAGATGAAGCAATCAGTGAGTCAGGTGGATTAGTTTTGATACCGAAACATTGCTGATAACTACCGGTAAAAAAAAGTTTAAACTAATTTTTTCCTTTTTTCCGCTGTTTGTTTTCTTTCTTTTAATATAATTTTAATTTCATTAAAATTAATTGTCATTAAAATTATGCATTTAGGTATATGTATATATAAAACTTGGCCTAATAACAACGCTCTGCATCTCAAGTCGCTTCTAATCGATTACGATGACAGCGATAATTAATTATCAAACGATTTGCGTAGCGTATCAAAAAGATAATCCTGTACCTCGGGCGAATTGGGGTCCATAGTGTTGAGCTTGTTGTGTGTGCTGCGCAAGGAGAGGGCTAGGGATGTTGTAGAGCCACTGTTGCTGCTGAAAAAGCCACAGCCACCACCGCTAACACCATTAATACTATTAGCACCGCAACCAACACCGCCACCACCACCACATCCATCCATGCTCCTGCCAGCGCCTTTTCCCGTCGCCATCGTCACCGACTTTGTTGTGTTGGTCGCCGAGCCGGCCTCACATTTAAGCTGTCGCGTAAACAGCATCGAGCTCTGGCGCTGCAACTGATGCATCGGCGTGCTACAGGAGACGGTTGCAATGCTGGCCACGCCCACTTCTGTGCTGCTGCCACCGCCCACCACCAGCTCCTCCATGTGTTGGTGGAGCGACGAGCGACGCGAGGCGTTTGCCGTCTGCACTAATTGTGGCAACTTGCTCTTCATGGCATTGTAGGTCTTGGTGTAGTTCGTTTTTCGTCGACGGTGCTGCTTCAGGCGGCACACCACAAATATGACCATGAAGGTGGCCAGCGAGGTCAACACGATGGCGGCACTCGCGACTATTGCAGATCGTATGCCCGCTGGCATGCTGGCGTACAGGCTACTCAGATGCTGTTTCGACAGCGTGGAGGCGGCCGTTGCAGCCGGACTACGCTTGAAGCCATGGCCCGATAGCTCCAGATCGAGGAGATCATGAGCTCGTGCCACCTCGTTCTCAATGGTATCGATAACATTCTCGTTTTGGACTTTCGATTGCTTGGTGCTGGTGGGATTACCGCCGCCAATCTCACTCCCATTGTTGTTGCCATACATTTGGTTTCCCACATCTATGCTGCTGTTTGCCTCGTCGCTCTGCTCCACCTCCTGCTCCTGTGAACTGGCGATGCCGTCGAGCAATAGGTGCGGTGCTGGCACAAAATAGGCATTGCGTTTGTCATCGGCGTTGGCACTCCGTGTCGCTGTGGCGGTGGCCAGTGAGGCGAGTGCTAGTGTCTTCCATGATGGAAAGAAACCGAGCGACTTTTCTGAACGTTGTTGCTGTTGTTGGCTAGAAGAGGACGACGCTGAAGATGATGATTGGGCGTAGGCGGGTCCTAAACAAAACATAATAAACAGATTTGATAATTTAGCTAATTAGTAGTGTGGATGGACGAGAAGGAGTGGGGGGGGGGGGGGGGCGGGGGCAGGCATGCCTATAAAGTATATCTTCTGCTGAAATTTGCTGTTAAATAAATAAAGATTGCACTAGTACCGATAAGTTAATGGAAAAGATGATGATGCATTCTAAGGTCCCTGTCAGCAGATCCTACGCAAACAATAATATAAACTTTGTAGTTTAGATAAATTTGAGGGTTTCTAAAGTAATTGTAATCATATTAATACGATCAGATTGATACTGGATTTCATTCTTATTACTTTGTTGTTAATGATGCAATTCCTAGTTAATGAACAGACATCAATAAGTTCATGGAGAAGACGACGAAGATGATGATTAATCATTAAGATCAACAATAAAGTTTGCCAGATTATTGTCATACGCGAATCAATTTTGTTAAGATTCCAATTCGTCTTGTAATATCCATAATATTTATTTCACTATAATAATACAGATCATTTTTGGTGCTTTTAAGCATAAGAAATCAATAATTACAATAATGCCTCCTTAACTCCATTTATTTACAATTACCGTTTTTGTTTAAGCTTTTAAAACTTGGCTATTCTTATTTTATTTCAATTATTTTGTAAAACAATAACATTTTTAGAAAATAGTTTCTATAATAATTCTGTAAAAAAAAAAGACTTGCATAAAAATAAAGCCACTTAAAAAGATGCTGTTGGAAAAAATGTCGGCTGTCCTCATCTATAGGGCTTCATCGATCTTAACTTTCTTGCCCCAATTGGAAATTCAGTTGAATCGGAAACGCATAAAATTTGTCATCTTTAGTTTGTATTGAATACTCGACTCCACACATGAATATATTACAAACAATTAAATGTTACGATAAGGATGAGGAAAGTTTTGTGTTTAACGAAAGGATATGTGAGAATTTTAATTAGGGTGCGTGTATTTCTGTGCGGCGTTGCAGCGAGCTGCGGCGTTTTCTGTACCAGGCTTGGCAGGATATTGCTTGCTCTTATTTTGCCAATTGATACCGGCATAGATAGGCGTTTTCTAAAATCGATAGCAGATCAAGAACTCAAGTCTAAGAATTGTTAATCGAAAGGACATAATTTGTTATCGTAGCACTCGCTTGCAAGCTATCCATCCATTCCCAGTTATTACTTACGTGTGCATTTGGCGTGCTGAGCTGCTGCTGCTGCTTCTTCAAAAATTGCTATAGAATAACTATCGATAGCGATAACAGATAACGACCAATGGCAACAGCTGCTC